CCTACACTGGTCTCAAACCTGACTCCTCCATGTCTGCAAACACCTGAAGAAAGCAAATGCAGGAAAATGAGCCTTCTCACATGAAGAATCTGTTTTGATAACTAGTCTAGATATGTCTTTGTTTTTTATTGATTGCGGAGATTAAAGAGAGACATCTAAATCAATCTTGATAGAATTTCAAGGATCGTTTTGAACTAGTTGAGCTTAGGGACAAAACAAGATGTTGATTAACATTGGAACAAATGAGGTGCCCGGTGCCACATATCGGTGAGATTATGGCAAGAAAGATATCTGGTCCTCCATAACATTGGGAAGAAGGCAAACTTTCCGCAAACCCTAAAATATCAGAGGAAACAGGTTCATAAGAAGATCTTATCTGTCAGACTATGATGTGCAAAAGTGCAATTCAACCCTCTGAGCCAATTTCCTTGGGCATAAACCTCTAGGATCATAGAAAGACTTACACCAAAACATGGAAATCAAATGCAGTAATCACAGGGAATTCCATCTCCCAAGCCACCCATTTGTTCAAACTTCAAAGCATCATAAAAAACCTCCTTTTCATTTGGCAGACCAGAGAGCTGCTAATTTATATTTATAAGCAAACCGGCATATCCTGAAACACAAATTATCATCTCTTTGAACTTCAAAGATTGTGAAAACAGTTGCTGCAGAAGTATCTACCCGCTTACCATTCTGCCAAGGTTAGATGCTTTTTGCCCCGACAGTGCAGAAGCTTTCTTCTTCCACGGATGATGCTCCGTCCTCCGTACCCTCTTTATCTCTTTCATATAATATCGACATGCAAACTTACTGATGAATCTATCAGGACAAACCATGTCAATTGATCAAAGTGAAGCGCTGAATCCGAAAATGCAGCACTCTTGATGGAAACAGGCGAATTTGTGCATTTCGTTTCACATTATCTCCTATCATTTGATTTCTAAAGCTAAAGAACCAAAACAATAAAACTCGAAAAAGTTCAGACACTACATTATCCTGTTTGCATTTGCCCAGATGCAAAAACTCAACCTTTTCGCCTTCAGCGAGACGAAAGTCCCGCAATTTGGAAGTCCCAGTCCTACCACCGGGAAGCATACAAAAATCATCGGCAATCTGCAAATGGAACAACACCCGTCTGAGAAAAACCCTAGAAACGAATGAATACAATCTGGTAGAACACGATCGGAAACCGATAACGAAATGATCGATGCCGAGTTCCAGGATTCAACAATTAGCGACGAAATTTACTCTGTGGACTGATAATCCTTGCAACGGGAGTTGACGTACAAGTAAAACCAAATATACAGAACGCCATTACCGTCTCTTATACTCGACTTCAAAAAAACACGGAAAGTGGAGAAGAGAAGGCGACAAGAGTTACCAATAACATCGCCTGGATTTAGATTCTGGGCACTCAAGAATTGAACCCAAATCTATGCAAAGCCGGAAACTTTGAAATGGGTAATCGAGATTCGATTCATGGGGTTCGAAAGATCCCCAGGAGACCAGGGATAATGTGAATTCTCGGGTAAAAGAAGGGTTTATGCTTCATGACAAAATATATAATCATTTTTATTTACGCTTGAGAAAGTTATATACGTAAATAAATATATTCATATTGTATCTAACAAAGATACTATAGATGTTTTTGAGATCTAGTAAAAAATTTAACATATTTACATGTCTATACACATATATGCAAACCTAAATAACCATTCAAACCCATATATCATAAGATTTATGCAAAGTCCAAGTCGTTATCCGCAAATTTATCATATCATATCATATCGTATCATATTATATTATATGGTTCGAACTTTACCGTTGACATTTCAAACTGAAACTTTTTGAAGGCTGTATGTTGTGACAAAAAATAAAATGACGTGGAAAAAAAAATCCCTAGTAGGCTAGTAGTGTATTAGCCCCACTTGTCATAATATGCTGAAGATTTTGGCAATGTGTGTATGGACAGTCCTTTTCCATATCACATGTGTATGTGTGCATGCATGCATTCACCATTACTCTTAAAATCCATGTTTGTTTCTATGCAATATACCAATTTACGCATCTGCCAATATAATAAAACAACCATGTACATAGATAGATAATGGTATTTTTATAGTGATAAATATTACGTACCACTTCCATTTTATGATTAAAAAACATTACTTATAGTTCTATTTCTATCCATCAAAAAAACCGGTCGGTTCTTCTTCATTTTTATTTAAAGTCGAAATATATATATATATATATATATATATATATATGTTATTGTTATTTTTCTAACATAAAGGACGGGTTGTATGTATTGAAAAAAGCTTGAATGTGTCATGTAATAGCTTTGGACCACCGATCATGCAGAACCCATTTGTACCCTTTTTTGGCTCACGGAGTTTGAACAAAAAAGTTTTGGTTGGTTTATGGTTTTGGATAATGCGAAGGAGAAGGTAAACGAACTACATTAATATGCAAATATTTCATTACATTATAATTATCGATGAAATCGTTTGCTTACTGATTTCTTCGCAAGCAAGAGCTTGCTTTCGAATTCTATTGATTTGATTGCGAGGTTTTGGTTATCTTGGCTTCAAGATTCTGTTTTAATTTGGTCACATTCATGGAACTATATAGTATATATATACAACAACTTGCATGCTAACGTAAGCTGGATGCATATGTTGCCTCGCCTGCTAACCTGAGCCTGGTGTGAAACAATGCGCACCTCGCATCCTCCTGCGCTGTTCCTCGTTGAGAGAGAGAGAGAGGAGAAGGTAAACGAACTACATTAATATGCAAATATTTCATTACATTATAATTATCGATGAAATCGTTTGCTTACTGATTTCTTCGCAAGCAAGAGCTTGCTTTCGAATTCTATTGATTTGATTGCGAGGTTTTGGTTATCTTGGCTTCAAGATTCTGTTTTAATTTGGTCACATTCATGGAACTATATAGTATATATATACAACAACTTGCATGCTAACGTAAGCTGGATGCATATGTTGCCTCGCCTGCTAGCCTGAGCCTGGTGTGAAACAATGCGCACCTCGCATCCTCCTGCAGAGAGAGAGAGAGAGAGAGAGAGAGAGAGAGAGAGAGAGAGAGAGAGATAAGAACAATACTCTCTCTCCCGCGCGCGCACACATACATACAGACATACATGCATGTATACATGTATACATGCATGTTCTTATAATTATTATAGGCCAAAAAATACTGAAGGCGACACCAATAATACAAGAGGTCCATGCCCAAAAACAGAAGAGATTCAACTGATTTTTTTTACTGAATCCGATTTCAGTTTGGTTCATAAGATTTTTGTCGAAATGTGTTATCACCAGATAAGATTATTACAGAGAATCAAGCAGAGAACTTGACGCCATCATCATCAGCTGAAGTTCCCTTGAACAATGCAAGCTTGCCCTTGTTTTCCAGCAGCTTCAACCCCCGCATTAGAACTGTCCTCTCTATTCCGTTCAGTTCTGTTCCATAAATAGACAAATGTCAGAATTCAGAGAGATATCCATAGCAGGCAGAGCCAGGCTTGGTCCTTGACCAAGATCCATAAGTCATGATTCAGACAAGAAGTAGATAGAAAAACAATGTCTGTCCGGGTTAATATTGGCAGAATCCCGCCACCGAAATCATAAGCTTTTACCTGTTCCCCGTGATTCAGTTCCTGAACGTATTTCCTCGACGGTCATGACACTGTCCTCCAATCCGTTCTCTCTCACCTGATAGGTTCAAGAACACGATCTTTATCCGATATGAACAACGGAATTTTTTCATAAATTCACATGAAACTCACAAACTGCAGAATTATGTCAGCCCAATCTTGAATCCGGTGCCATAGAATCAGGCACTTCCTGTGCCCTTTGTCTAACCACTCCGCCCGCCCTGTTGGTATATATAAACATGGCATATTCTTAAAATGATCGAACAAAAACCATTATACTGAAAAACACGAGCTTTGTAGCATCCAAAAACCGACCTTCTCCAACAAGGGCCGAGAGGAATGTTTCCCTAGCTTCATGACTTAAAGATCCTACAGGCAGATACACCATAAATAAAACAGTCCCCTCAAAACATGGAAAGCAAAAAGTGATGTAGAAAATCTAAATCCACACAGATTACTCAGAGAGCAACTTATCAAAGGGGAAACTTTGCAGCCAGCAAGATTTCAGCTTAACAAAGACCAATGTAAGAACTTCCGGCCTATAGAGACAAATACCGTAGCATATCATACTAATCAGACATGCGACGGAAATTTTTTCTTTAGTCCTCCATTGATGAATGAGAGCATATATCACCAATCACCAGACCAGTATCAGATCCTTTGTGTTATTCAATAATCATCACCAAACATATCTTGCTGCGCTTTGGCGAGAACAAGGACAAACTCAGGCATTGAGACAAGAACATATTCACATATACTAAGCTAATTAGAGTTCGAGCCCGTGCAAGCCATCTTCAACATTCAAGTGGAGAATCAGAGAAAACATAAAGGATCATACTATCAATGGCATGATTTGAGAAGAGAGGAAAATCTTCTTCAAGCCCAATAATGAAAAGCTTCTGGGTTTTGCAGTAATCCAAGATAAGCTCCTTCCATAGCTGTATTTGCTTCTCTCGTGTATCCCTCACCGCCTGCAAGCTGAAAGTTGCAGACTTTCATCAGCCCATTATCTCAGAGACATCAAAAAGCAACAAGGGAGGGTTTGGTTACGTGAAGTATGGTGGGTAATTGAAGAACTGAGGAAGATTGAAATCGCCCAATTTCTGCATCACTCTACCAAAACGTTCTCACTTCTGGGAAGTTGATGAAGCTCATAAACTCTGCCATAAGAAGTCAAACCATCCATGCCAATGGAAAAATCAAAGCTCAGAAAAAATGGCGAAGGGATGCGTACAACTGCGATGCTTTTCATACGTTCACTACAATGTTTCCAAGAAACAGGACTCTCAAATTGATCATTTGAAATTTTGGGGAGAAAAAGAAGGCCGACACTATACCAATTCGTAAGAAAATCGATTAGCTGTTCGAATGCAGAGTCAAAGTTGAGATCTTTCGCCCCCGTCTTGATCCATTCCTTTTTTACGATCCCCAGAAAAAAATTCGGCACAAGTACCGAATTAGGAACTAAAGATCAATTTTTTTCTCAAGGTTATCGAGGATGATCAAGGAAGGGAGAGACAGGGAGAGAACTTACGATGTGAAAATAGCGATTTCAGACGATGGAGGAACAGCCGCAGTCCGGGGCAACGAGTTGCGGACTCCCTCTTCACCACTTTTCTATCTTTTTCTTTTTGATGGTTTTGGGTTCTTGTTCCGTTAATATTTCATTTTTAACCATTTTTTTGCTTCTAGTCTCTTCAAGACCGGTCCAAATGTATCAAATCGGACAATATCATGTATCATTCGAACTGTCAAACAGAGATTTCTGAACAGAAGAATCTCTGGCAATGAAGCTGGTAATGACTAATGACCTGTTTGAGGACATGAAGATCAAGTAATCCCTTCCCTTGTACAGAGAGCACTTCAATTCACATGAAACTATTCTAGGAGGAGAACACAGTTAAAACCAATAGAATCCATCCTCTGTGTCATGTTCAAAGAAAACTTCAGAGTAAGCACATAATTTCTACCACTGAAAAAGAATTTGCATTTAAATCATCCCATCACAGGGAATGTTACAAAGACCAGGCAGTTTCAAGCTGCAACAAGATCAGGGGTCTCAGCTTCGACGGATAATAATGTGGTGTGAACCTTGTCTGCCCAATTGTCCAGCCGATCCCTCAACGATTTGATCTGCTGGATCCCCAGAACTCTCGGTTGCGCCCACGAGACATGTACTGTTCCTTCTACTTGGTCTATGATTCCCTCTATCAGATGGACCTGCAACATATTTTCCCACATGTTTTAGTTTACTACCACACCCATTTCTTCAGTAATCTGCACTTGAGATTATCCATGGACATATGCACTACCTATGTATGCCATATAAATCCTAGCTGAATACAAAGTTCAGGGCATTTAACAACTAAAAGCTTTGAACCCTTGTGGCAGGTATGGACAGAAAATACCATGGAAATGGAATTCACAAAAATGGAATCAATAATCTTTGACAACCTTTCGAAGGATTTTATAAAACATAATTAGAGATTCTCGGGGGGTAAGCTTATGTCAAACCAGTAAGAGAGAGAGAGAGGAACATAGAGAATAATACTCACAGATAGACCCTTCATAAGAAGAAGCTCAACATCTTCGACAGAAAGTTTAGTGCGCTCAGCAATGGCAGTCAGCGGTATAGTTCTATCTTCAGCAGGTCGGCTGCGACAAAGCCATTGATAATGCTTTGTCAGCACTAGATTCTAGTTTCTTGAAATGCATTTGCAGAAAGATGTTGCCTACAGAGTACAAACCTGAAGATGATCTCAATAAGGCAAAGAATGTTGATCTTTTCCAATAGTTTCTTCTCATTCTCAACCAGTGCTGGCTGAGCCCTCAAGGATGCGTTGTGCACACGGCATAGTTCTTGATACTGAACTAAGTCACCATGGTTGAATGCTTGAAGCATGTGGTAAAGCCATTCTACGTTTGTTCCAGTGAGACTATTTATCTGTCGCACGAGAAATTGTAAGAGCTTGTACAATCCAACTAGAACCATAATAAAAATTCCGAAGCAGAAGTGATAAGATCCAGAAGGTTCTATATCAGGATAGTAGTTCGATGTGCCGGTGGCTGTAATCTAGAATTTCAAACCCAGGAAAAAGGAAAAACAGCGATAAAAACCTTCTTTATCACAAAAGGTTAAGTTTGAGTTATTTAGAACATTAAGAACCTGGTAATTCATAGTATGAAAGCAAACTTACAATGGGATGGGCTAACAGCTCCCCAAAGTTATATATATTATCTCCAAGTAGAGCTGAGAGTGACAGATCAAAAGCCAGATCCTGAAACATATAGAAAATATCAGATTACAGAAATCTGACTGTGAATACACAAAAATGCCAGAAACAAAGCATTCTCCTCTTTTTTTCCCTCTAAATTTCGCCAAAATGTCCTCAAAGCTAGGTGAGAGTTACTGCTACTGATAAATAAAACGCAATTTTGCAAGGTCTATGAAGCCATTAAAACAGGAATAGGCAAATCACAAGCACATACCAGCTTAAACGATTCTGAGAGTGACTCCACAGATGTGTATGCGAGGTACAAAAGAGCATTTTTGTAGAAATCAGAAAATTCTCGACGAAATTTATGGTACTGAGAAGACACCCAGAAAAAGTTGGCATAGACTGATGGATCGATGTCAGTCATACTATCAAGGGAGCTCTTTCCATCATCCAAGATTTTCTTGCACTCCTTCTGGTCACCATGTTCAAGCTTGAACAAAGCCATTTGCATTTTGATATAAATAACCGGCTCATTTAAACGCTGCTCTTTAGTAGCTTTAAGTTTTTCAATCACTCCTTCAAGATAACTAATTGCAGCTTCTTTCTCAGGATACTGTCTGGAGACAACAACCGCAAAATGGGCAAGCTTCAGAAGATTGATCTTCGTCTCAAAGTCGGTGATGAAATTATTATAGAGCTGTATCAAAGCATCACCAGCCTGAAACGAACATGCAGATAAGGAAACAAAAGTTAAAAGAGACACATCACTTGCAGTATCAGATATGAGCCTGAGTATCATTACAAATACACTTCAAAAACACTATTCATAAGTTTCGTAAGATCGAAGGAAAACAAAATCAAGCAATAGTCAAATTGAGAATTAAAGGACTATTTTCTCTGAGGATTCGGAAAATTCCATTTGCCAACTTCGACAGAATTGAAGGCACTAACTATCTTCACTCGTAATTAGTTTCTAAAACGTTATAAAACCTCCAAGAAGATTAGATTGTACAAGTATTTCTCTGCTCATGAATTCAAGCTAGATCTCGTAAGAGCGATAGGACTCAGGTTCAACAAAACAAAACTTCCCAAATTGGGATTTCAACGAAACCCTAGACCCAACTCGTCAAATCCCTAACTTTCCACCAGGAAACGCATATAAATGAATCGTCTGAATACTGAACTTTCGAAGCAAGACTCAACGAATTCTGCCTAGCTTCTCGAGATCTGTGAAATCCGAATCCTTAGAACCACTACCAAACGAGAAAATCTCATAAAAAACATGGTGAAAAAATCACTGCAGATGGGAAGAAGAATACCTGAAAGATAGCGAGAGCGATGAACTGCTCGAGCTTGAGGGTAAGCTGGTGCCAGAGCTTCTTCTGGTACAGATCTGCAAGGGAATTGTACCATTCCCCGAGCTCTGGATGCGCATTTCTCTGGGATTCCAAGTATTGGAGAGCGGCCATGGCGGATTTTCCTCGCAGGAGAAGACGACGAGGAAAGATTCGATCTTTGTAGCAGGGAAGAAGAGAAAATCAGAAAAACCCTGCCTCTTGGTAAACCATTTTTCTTGGACTAAAAGAAAAGTATCGGGACAGAAATGCAAAAATAGAAATTTAAAAGGATTTTTATGTGAATATAAAATACGACTTATTTGTACGAATTATTAATGCAGAGTATAATAAATTAGAATTTGGTGGGTTTAATAGACACCACACTTATATAACGCTGTTTCGTTAGATAGAACAAAATACTGAGGTCAATTCACAATTTATAAAAGATAGATAATTCCGGGTTCCGGTCCGGGTCGGGTCGGGTCGGGTCGGGGGTTGGCTCTTTCCGGCTCTGTCACTACGAGTAATGGCGTTTGAAATCCCACTCGCCTTCAGAGAATCACAGGGCGAGGGAGGGAGAGAGAGAGAGAGATGGATGAGCAAGACATTGGAGACTGGGATGAGGAGTTCCTGGAGGCCGCCATTAAAGCGGAGGAGTTTCACCTCTCTTCTCAGCTCCCTCCTTCAGCTCCGGCGCCGGAGACGGTGTCAATTTCGTCGTCATTACCTCAGCAACCGCAACCGTCGGGACATCGGCAAGAAATCCCATCTCGTGATCATTTCTTCTGCTACTCGCCGCCGAGAGTGCTTTCCCAAAGAGCGGCCGATTCGGGTGACGCATTTCTGAACTACTCAACCTCTGCTGCGGCTGCTAGAAGAAGCTCTCCGACCTCTTCGTCTCGGCGTTGGGATAGCTCGAAGGATCTCGAGATCGATCGTCTGAAGGTTAGGGGTTTCTTCCCTCCTCTGCGAACATGTGTTGCGCCACAGAAGTTACTTCTGCTTGTATCTCTGTGCTCCGAATGGAAATTGTCTCGTTACTAGTTGCTAATCACGGTTTTGGTTATAAAGTGATGGTTTTGTTGTTATTCCATGCCCGTCAATCTTTTTTGCGGCTTCTATTCTGTTGTTTTTGTGGTGGGTTTTGAGGAATGCGACATTTATTTTGGGAGAAATCTTAGTTCAAGATGTTTGTGAGATGCCGTTTACTTCGTTTTACTACAATGTGGTTCTGATATTGTTGTCTGGTTTATGATCACAGAAAGAGCTGGGACGTGTCTCAAAGCAGCTGCTGGATCTGGTTTGTCCACATCTTGATTTCTTTTACAGTGCCATTATATTCTTTGAAATCTTTAATTCCTTTGATTGAGGTTACTAGGTCCTGCAGTCATCTCCTTGTTCTTCTGTACTAAAGATCAACAATTAAGATTTTGCAGTTCTGTTGCATCAGAATATAGATGGGAAGTCTTTCTGAAATCAAACCTTACCAAATTTTGTTACTTGGTTTCAGGAACGTGAGTGTTCTCAACTTAGGAAGGGGAGAAACGATGAAAGACTGATCAGGCCCTCACATAATAACAACAAAGGGCAAGATTCAATTGTAAATGGATCTAACAGACCAAGCTTGTGAGTAACATGGCATCTAAAGTTGGATCTTCAGAATATATTTTACTTATTGCATTAAGTCTCGAGCCCTTGTCTGAATTAACATTTCTTTTCACGTATCAAGTCTTCTAGTGTATAAAATACAGAATCGGCATATGTATGAGTTCACTCTTTTGAGATTTATATTAGCATATGATTTTGCATTTGCTGTCACGGGGAAGTTCAAACATCTATGGTTCATGATAAAGAATTAATGTTCAATAGGATTGTCTCTAACTCGGATTGCTAATTATAATTTGGAAGATCTGTCGTACAGGGAGCCAGGTGTTACAACTTTAGCAAATGATGGAGCTTCCCATGAAATTCATCGTGAGAAGGGTTTGGATGGCCAGAAATGTATGTGAAGTCTTTTTGGCATATGAAGTTAAAAAACTTAAAAAGTTCTTTTGCATGAATAATTTATTCACAAAAGCTTCTTACTTCATGCATTAATTGTTTTCTAGCTTTGAATGGGTCAGGCTGCAAGACCATTGGAGTTCAGGTGGATCTAGCTTATAATGCTGATCTTTCAAAAAAGTTGTTAGATATCTGGTGCACTTCAAGTTATCAAGATCCAAGGAGATATTTGATTTCAGAGTTGCTGCTGGCATGTTCAACAGATCTCCAGATTCTTTTTAGTTTCATGACTGTCAATATGGATCCTCAAGAAGTTGATCATTCATTACACGAAAGCTCTTCGAATATGAAATCTTCTGAAGCACTTGGAGCTGCGAAGGTGTCTCAGTTATACTCTGCTATAACAGAGGTATGACTCATTTAGTCACTTGAGTTCTTTGTACTTACTGACAATTAAAATGATATAATGTAATCTATCTGCATATTCATACAGATCAGCTATGGATTGGTAGACTTGAAGGCCTTGTTCCAACCATTGCTTGATCTTTGTAAGGCAAAAAATGTATGTAGCATTTGAATGCAAGGTTTTATTTGTGAATTTTCTGCTTTGTGGATCCATTGTCCTTTTGCTTGTTGTTTAGTAGGATTTGTTTCCTTTATGCAGGCTGTGATTGTTTATAGGACCCTGCATATAGTACATGTGTTGTTGGAACATATCTGCGGTGTAGAAAGGAAATTTGAAATCAGGTATCTCATCTCTTCTTGCCCTATGTTCTTGAGTTCACGCAATACATTGTTGAGTTTATTGATTTGGTTTCTATAATCCCTGCCTCTCGAGGTTACTACAAACCCTTAAATGCCTGAGCTTTTTTTTAAAACATGTTTCCATATTGTTGCCTTTTGAAAAACTTTTTCTTTTTGTGTTCTTATGAACTTTGATTTGATCTTCCCAGTGCACTCTATCAGGGACATTGTCATAGATGAGGAATCCAGCTCTGGTGAGGTTGCCCAGTTTCATGGCTTTCAACATAGAAGGCAGACTAGTTTAAACACTCGAGAGTCAGCTAACTTGAGTAATACCTCATTTTGTGGAAGGCCTGCTGCGGATCCATGCAAGAAAAGTCCAGACGAGACTGATGGGGCTCAGCTTCTTTGTGATACAAACTGGCTTTATCTGTTTGAGTTGATGAATGAAATTGCTTCCAGAAGAACTGAAGAACATGTGAAACTGGAAGCTGTGTCTATAATGAACATAATTGTGATGGGAAGTGATGCTTATACCAAGAGAGAAGAGTGAGCATCTCGATATCATTCTCTTCTGATGTTGTTAATGCTCTTAATTCTGCATTTATTTATTGATTATATGTGTTTTGCCCAGTTTTGGCTCTGCAAAGGTGTTTGAAAGCATTTCCTTACTTTTGAGAAAGGAAACCAGCTTAGGTGTGCGGAAAGAAGCTATTCATCTTTTCTACTTGCTGCTGAACTGTACGTATGCAATTTTACTCTATTCTCTTTCAACTCGCAATACCTGTTCATAACCTGTCCTTCTGATGAAACTAAAATCTTAAAGTTTTAGCATGCCCTCTGTCCTATTTCTTGAATATATTTCCAGTTCCTAAAGCCTTAAATGTCCATTTCCCCTTTCGAAGGCCCCAAACTGTTAGGTATATTTGATTCTCTCTGGGAAGAAAGGAAGATTACAGATGCTGGAAATGGCAGCGAGGAGAATCTATTCGTTATTAAAGCATTTGGTATGATCTTTGAAGGTTTGGCAGGTTGCTTAACTTCCCCCAGAAAGACATCACAGGTACATTAAGGGGTCGAAAGATCCTCAATCATTGACAAGTAGTCTAATATCCTGGGTCATTCCAGTTCAAGTTTCAATAATTGATGTTGCGATTTTGATTGAATAACATTTAATCTCTGAAAATGTTGAACTGTTTGTGTTTCAGGATCTGGAACTTTGTCGCAATGTTGTAATGGTCTTGGCTCTGTTAGCCTCGTCTGGCAACTCTGGCTTTGAAGTTCTGACAAGTCACAAGCTATCACAAGACACCAACTTTCTAATGCTGATACTGCAGCTTTTGTCAGCCGAAATAGACTCAGAAACTGCAGCGACTCCTGAACCCGCAGAAACTTTCAAATCCAGGTGCTTTGATAAATTTTTCCCCGGCAGCTCATTACCCATTATGCATGATATTCATATCATTTCCGATAAATAATTAATTTAACATTTGACTTCCACCAATCCGGTTAGGCTAATGTATGCAAGTCATTGAACTTCTCTGGTACAGGACACAACTGATGCGGGAGATACTGATACTACTAAACAGACTTGTCTCTGCGCCTTCAAGCTCTTCTACCATCCTAAGGGAATTGACAAAGAGTAGGGACATGGCCAGTCTAACAGTTGATGCAGCCACCAGATTGTCCCGTAAAAGACGAGCCTTGGGGCAACCAGACAGCGGAGCTCAGAGAATGAGGGAATCTGAAATCACTGACTTAGCTCGTATTTTCAGGAGACGGGTTTTCGCCTACTTGGGTGACTGTACATCCTAACTCACAACTGTCTGAATCAGCGTAAGAAGCAGAAGCTGGAGCATTATTTTTGCTGAACTCTGCACGAGTTTCCTTCTGAGCGGAAACAAATTTTGACTGAGGGCATATGTCCTCTGTTTTTGTTAGCATCATTTAAACAAACTCTGGGATTCATCAGGACATGAACTTGAATCTGGTTCCACAAGAAGGGGAAGGAAGAGCTTGAGATCTGTACGGACGAGGTGTTTGTCTTCATATTGCCTGAGGCAACAACTTTCAAGAAGCATTTTTCTATGTTCCATTGATGAGTTTTTTTCGATATCTGAACCTGACATTGATGATTAAACACAAGGAATTAAGGATATTTTCAACGAAATCTGAATCCAATGTATTTATTGATCGAGTAACACTGTATAAATATGGTGCACCATATAATGATTATTGAATGGGGAAACAAATACATGTAAACAATATATGATACTATAACTTAATGGTCCACAGCCTCAAATTGTAATCAATGGGTCTCGGATCTTAGCAGAAAAGCCTGTGTGAGTATGCTCAAATCATAGCTTAGAAGGAACAGAATTCGATAGGATTCTCCTTAGTTCTCTTCTGAGGATCTTTCCGGATGGAGATTTCGGTATAGAGTTCACCATGAAAACCTTCCTCACCTTCTTGTACGGAGCAACCTGGCAAGTGAAAAGTTGATCAAAATTGATTCTTCATCTGATTTAAATATTTAATAAGATTTGGCAAATCTTGTATTGTATGTATTTACATACAGTAGGGAATTCATCTTATATATGTCCAAAACTATGTGAGAATCTGTCTTTTGAATGACAAAGGCCCTACCTGAGCACCAACATAGTTTATGACATCTTGTTCAGATACTGTTGTTTCTGGCCGCCGAACCACAAAAGCCACCGGAATCTCTCCACATTCTTCATGACTGACACTGAAACTTTAAATCTTAGTTAGGATATATCTGACTGCATTCAAACTGTCTATATGCACAGCTCATGAAGCAATTTTCTGATAATTTTTTTTTCTTCTGAAAATTGAATATCAATGATTCTGAAACGCACAAGACCTCAGCAAAACAAGATTTTTTCATACTTACGCTGTTACTGCGGCATCAAGGATCCCAGGGTGCGAAACAAGGACAGCCTCCAAATCTGCAGGCGAGATCTGCAAAACCCCAATATTTGCAAAGGCAACTGTGAATCACTCTTATTGTTTATACAGTCTTCTTATTACAGGTTCAAAAGCAAGTTTTCACTTTTATATAGAATTTGGGTTTTGCAAAATCTGGTTTACCTGAAAACCTTTGTACTTTATAATCTCCTTTATACGGTCAATAATGAACAAGTAACCATCTTGGTCAAAGTAAGCTATGTCCCCAGTACGCAGCCAACTATCTTCAATGATTACCATCTGGGTTGCTTCTGGGTTATTCAAGTATCCTGATAGACAACACTTGAGTTCATTAAAGTGCCTCATCAACATATAAATCACAAAAATGAAAAAGAACAGGACCACACATGAAGTATGGAAGTCCGAATCTACATATTATGATTTGTCAAGTGATAACCCGTCATATAAGTTAATTAGCCAAGATATATGAGATCGATCCAAACTATGAACAAATGGCTGCTCTATGCCCTGAGGCAAGACCTTTGGCATCAACTGTTATGGGAAGAAAAATGAAGAGTCTTTACCTTTCATGATGCCAGGCCCCCTTATCCAGAGCTCGCCTTGGCTTCCTGGAGGAAGAAAAGAGCCAGAGCTCCAGTCCGCCACCTTGGCTTGCATATTCGGAGCAAGTAGTCCCACCGAAGAGTACTTCTTAAACTTTTGCGTGTTGAAGCCACGTGACCCTACTGCTGTTGATTCGGTCATGCCATAGCCCTGCAACAACAAAAAACGCAATTCCCATATATTTAGACTCTCAGATAAAGTTGCCATTATCGACATGAAAGAAGAAGCTGTGCATATGACAGTTGAGAGCATCCAACTGAAGGGAAAAAAAAAAGAAAAGCACAGAAGAATGCAAATCCCGTTGCAGAAATTCGCTCCTTGATTTAAAGCATTAGAGTGAAATGGAGTCTACCAATATAACAAGAAGAAATGAATATCTTGAAAAACTCATAGCTTCATTTTCGGTTCAGTGAACTCCTCAAACGAAGATTTCATCTAACCGTTTCGAAGGTAACAATCTAGAATCCTATATTCTGTTCTAAATGAGATATTTGAATGATGCAGGAATTGTTCGCTCAATAACCAATATACATAAATGCAAGAAGGAAAGTGCCATCAAATGTAAACCATTAGAGGTGCTTGTAAAACACTTTTTGAGACAAATGCAGAGACCTGAATCAAGTCAACACTGGGAAAAGTCTGGATAAAATCTTCAATGAATTTCCAGCTAAGAGGAGCCGCCCCAGAAAAAACTTGCTTCAAACTTTTAAAGGATTTCCCACAAACACCTTGTGCTCGCTTGGTCAAGGCCACCAACATTGGAGGAACAACCGGGAAATGAGTGATCTTAAACCTTTCAATAACTCTGACAACCTCAGCAATATCAAATTTCCTCATGACAACAATTGTTGATCCTAGAGACAGTAGCCCCACCGCAAAAAGGGATAACCCATATATGTGGCACATTGGCAGAACAGCTAGATAAACACAACTCGAACTCGAATACTCATATTGTGAAGCTCCGAACCTCACAAAAAGCTCCATTGCTGCTATCAGGTTCCCATGAGTTAACAGAACTCCTTTACTAGCTCCTGTTGTGCCCGAGGAATACATTATAGCAGCTGCATCGTCCTGCTTAATCAATGGTTTTGGCACAATACCGAAATTTCCATTGATAATATCGTAGAACTTCGAATTTTTTATTTGAATTGAACCAAGATCACAGCTTTCCGGTACCCTGATCACGGTGATACCCAATGTGCCTAACTTCTCAACGATGTCTGGCGAAGCAAACGCCAAACCGGCATTACAGTCAACCACTTGCTTCTTGATTTCTTCCAAGCTACTTGAAGGATTCATGGTGGTAACAATGGCGCCCAGATAAAGTACGGAAAAGAAAATCACAGGGAAGTATACGGAGTTCCGCAAGACCAGCAAAACAACGTCACCTTGCTTGACACCCATGAGGTGATGAAGCCCAGCCGCCATGGATTTGACCAAGGGTTGCAGCTCAGCGTAAGATATCGAAAACCCAGATGAGGAATCGACGAGAGCAACGTCTCCGTCGTGACGGTGAGAGAAAATGGCGGAGACGGCGTCGAGAAAAGGGTCGAGTGGAAGCTGTACAGACGTGAACTTGCTGCTATAGATTCCCGTCTCCGGACAAAACCAGTAGGGAGGCTGTTCGAGCTTCGTAGGGTTCATGGCGTCTGGGTTATCGTGTAGATCGGCTGCCATCGGAAAAGAGAGAATCGCGGCGGCGGGAGGTGAGAAGAAGGCAGCCTGGGTTTGAATTCATAGCAGAGGCAACTGGTCCTTTATATGTTGTATATGCCACAGCAGAGTTTGGCTCTTGAAGACACAGATTAGTTAATAGTTAACACAAATGAGGTTTGGTGCAGCTGATTTCTGTTCAACAGTGCTTAATTATTAGGCTGATGAGGTTTATCATTTGCCTAATTTTTCAATTAACTGTTAATCTCCTTAATTTATTAAATCACTTCTAACGTGTATCATTCAATTGAGCTGAATAGTCCTGCTCGATTTGGATCACCCATGTAGTTCCCTCCACCAAAAAGAAAAAAAAAATCTGAAACTTTGGTTTTAATCAAAATTTGTATAAAATATAAACATTGAGAAAAATCTAGTAACATTTCATGTAATTATAAATTATTTATATTAATTGTTTTTACTAGTTTAAAACTGTAAATTAGGATGTAATTATCTGATAAAATTCTTAATGTAAAAAATTTTAAATTTCTTTAATAAATTTTAAAATTATAAATAGTTTTATTTGTTAAAAGTTTTTTTTCGGTATTTTATATAGTTATCAATGTTAAGCCCTTTGGGTATTTATATTTTCCTTTGGGTACGCAGGATACACTTATCCCAATATCCAAACAGTCCCTAATCACTTCCCCGAGTCGCTTAAACCCAGATTCTTGACCTCTATCTACATCGATCGGAAGGAAAAAAATTTACAACTTTTCTTCCTCTCGAAGAACATTGCAGAGATTCTGCGGCAAGCTTCGGTTTTTCGCCGTCCAATCGAATCAAAATCTCTATTTTATCGCCGCTCCTCGCCGTCTGCTCCACCACTCTCCACCGCCGTGTGGCCAGCCAACCCTAGGTTTCGCCCGGAGCAAATGGAGCTTTTTCCCCGACGCGCATGGAGATTTTCCGTGCGTGAGGAGTTTCTCCGGTGGCATCTGGCTCCATGGCTTCTAGCCTGTTGCCTCATCATGTAAGCGTCTGGATTTGAGATTTTGTTTACTGTTTGGTCCGCGAGAAAATGATTTAGGTTAGAAATGACATGTGGGTTTCAATCAGATTACTGTAAACTGTAAAATTGTTTCGATAACGTGTGAATTAAATGGTGAGTGCTAGCGCTTCTGATGCCATTTTCCCGCTTAAAATGCCGGAGAGGAAAGATCTCTGACTATCCACTTAGTTGAAGTCATGGATTGTTGTAATAGTCCTTTGGTACTCTGAACCTTGAATTTGTTGTGTAACATCTCATCCTGGCTCTGGTTTTGATTCGAATGATTGTAAGTCAATAGACTATGTTCCCGTCGAAAGATTTGATTGATCTTCTCCCTTCCTATCAACTTTATGATTCTATGTCTTTAGTGGCGTCCAGGAGTGTTAGTGACCAACACCCATGTGATGCAATTTGGTTCATATATGTTTCTCGATTTCATTAGCTCCATGTGGCTTTTTTTTATATGAAGTTTTATGATTGATTTGGTCATAGAAAGTTAAATGAGATTGCTTTCCGATGTCATTTTCTTTATCACTGCTGAGAGTAATAGATATATTCTGAATTTTCATCTGCCTTGTAAGTATAACCTTTACTCAATCTTCCCTATGGTTAATGGGCCGACTGTTACAATGTTAGAACGGATAGTATAATCATTCAATGGTCGGTCTTGTTGGGATCATTTTTTGTTTCATTAGCCTATCCGCTGACAAGTGTAGCAAACTGTTTTAAGGGGGAAAAACCAAGTCTTCTGATGTTGCTGTATGTTTATATTCAACGGGTATCTTCCTTTTAACTGAAATGTTCTCTGCTTGTATATACAGTTTGTTCATGTGAGGAATATTACTTCGAAAGAACGAAAAGGAAAGTGGAAGAAGAAGCGGAGACCTCGGACTCCGATCACATCAAAATCAAGAAAATAAAGATAAAGGCTTATTCGTATGTTCTTGTTCTGTATAAAGTATTATCATTAGGTTTAGAAATGGGAAAATGGTTGTTCAGATCATATAAAGGCAGGTTTAAAACACTGAATGATGGTACCATCCGTCGATGGAGAGAAGGCAAGCGCCATAAGGCCCACTTGAAGGTAAGATCTAATGAATAACACTTGTTCAAAGGTAAGATCTAATGATGTTCTTTGATGTTTCTATGGTTGAAACTCGAGCATTTGGTTGTGGTGGTGGGAATGGCGGAGTTGTCGGTGGTTGATACAGTCGAAGAGGAGACTGAGACAGCCGGTGTACCGGCGGCTTATGCCAAAGCCATGAAGAAACTCAACGTCTGCTCTTGAGACGGGGAAGCATGAATCTTTTCTCTTCCTGTTTATGTTTCACGTTGAGGTTATAGAAGTTTCTTCTTCTTCTTCTTCAAAGGTGGATTAGTAGAATTGTTCAGAGACACAAATGGTTAAATAAGGACATCATCAGCTATATTTTTTGTTAACTAACATTCAATTTAGTTTAAAAATTACAAGTTTTATATGATTCGAGTTTTTAAGATAAAAATTATTTGTTATTAACCCAAAATTGAAACGATTGTGGTTTACATTTTTAATACGGCTACTTTATTTAAAACAAAAGGAAATAAAACGAGATAAACAAAGGTTCAAACATGTAACCGGAATTCTCATTGTCCCGGGTTGAATCGAACCCAAATCTACTATTATTTTTAGGAAAAATTTCAAAAAAACGCTCAATTTTCAAATTTTATCAAAAAAACACTAAATTTTATTTTTTGTCAAATAAACCTTAAAGTTTTTAAATTTAACAAAACAAACACTTAAATCTTCTATGATTATTAAAATAATCAAAATGACTGACGCAGCACAAAGATATGCAAATAGGTCAGATTATCTTACTTAGGTTATTTTTTTGGATCACTAAAAAAGTTTAGTGTTTTTTTAATAATCGCATCACTTAAAAAATTCAATATTTTTTTTAGATTCATTTAAAAAATTTAATGTTTATTTGATAAAAAATAAAGTTTAGTATTTTTTTTGTCAAAATTAAAAAATTCAGTGTTTTTTATAGAGTTTTTTCTTATTTTTATTGCTATTCGATTTTATCCTATAAAACCAATTAAATACATAGAATATCAGGATTAGCATTTATGGAAATAAATATATACATTACTAGAAAAACCAAGAAAATGTATTAATCTTGATAAGTTAAAATATTATCTACCTTTAAGTATATTTTTTGTTTTTGTATTCCATGATATGAATAAAATAACTCATAGCAACGGTACTCTGGAGACGCTCCTCAAGTAAAAAAAGACGAAAATGCCCTCTCCCTCGCACTTTGAACCCTTCTCCCTTCCCGGCTCGACTTCTTCACCGTTTCATTCTCTCCCTCTCCTCCTAAATCCGACCCCTCCGGCGATGCTTTCGCCCGCGGGATGCCAGCCCATGGCCGGAGCCAACTCTGAATCCGGTTCGGTTCCCTCATCCGAACCTGAACGGCTCTCTCTTCAACTCTGGTTGCCGGATTCCTCCGTATGCGTCGGCGGAGAAGTTCATCCGTTGCCGCTCGAGGTCCGCGAGCCAAACCGGCGGCGGAGGATGAAATTGACGAGTTCTCTCGAACTCTCCGGAGAGAGGTGTCTGAGGAGATCGCCAAGGTTCAGTTGTAAATCTCCGGCGGAGGCTGGCGTCTCTCCGGCGAATCCCGGTGGTGGTAAGCGGCTGCTGATGCTGACAGACGGTGTCTCGGTTCGGAGATCACCGAGACTCGCGTCGATTAGGGGAAAAATCGACAATGGAGGTACGCCTCCGGTCGTCGGAAGAGTTGGATCGAAGATGACAGAGGGTAATGCTAATAATTCCGCTCCTGCCAAGGTTAGTCTTCGTACATTTCGTTCAGTTTGTTAATAAACTAAATTTATTTCTGAACGTTTCTTCGTAAAAAATCGCTTCGTTAATCGTTGAAATTTGTAATCTTTGGTTAAGAGAGGAGAATCTGAAAGTATAAATAAATCAAATTGAATATGAAAGTATAAATAAAAATGTTGGAGGGTAATGCTTGATTTACTCTAAATATAATTTCATTAATTATGTGCCGTTCTTAACGTCGAATGCATCGTCGTCACCGGAAATTCTATTAAGAACAGGTATACTTAAGGTTGTATTCATTACAAAAAAAAAGTTGTATTCATTAATTAAGACATGAATCTTGCTTTAAATCTTTCTGTCTGAAAGGCAATGTACTTTTCCATCACGCTTTGCCGTACAACGTAGAATCTTTGTTTTTTTTGACACTTTTCTCACATTTTCTTCTCTGCTTGTTGATTTTTTTTTTTGTATGAAGAGGGACAGCTCGGATTCTCGAGGAATGACTTTCAAGTAAGTAGAGCTTTAACCGGTCCTTTGATAGGGGAAATTACTAGTGAAAGAAGCAAGGTCATTAGCGAAAACCACATTCTACAGTATTTTTGGAGAATTAATCTTTAATAATCTTCCAAAACCATTTGTCCCCCATCACAATATTATTAAAGATCAATCAAGTTATGGATTTTAATTTAATTTTTTCGTGGGAAATCATGAATGTTAATGGACAGTTGTTTTTGGATAAATGGACGCTTTGAGGATCAGTTTCATGAATCCAATCATGTGGACTTTTAGTTCCTAAGTTTCTACCTTTTCTGCTCCATGTTACAATAGCTCGTGTGATTTTCGTTATGCAAATTGATTCAGAGATATAGCTGCACTTGCCATTGGCTTGGAGGACAGCATTTTGGAAAGTGGAGTTGAATGCAAAAATGTTGAGGGTGGATCAAGACTGCGGTATTCGTCCAAGCCTTTACTTCTCAAATGGAAAGATGATAATGACAGTGTCAATAAACCGTTGAGGAGGTCCCCGAGATTCACCAAAGTAATGGGGAATGGTGAGAGGGAAGAACATGTGGCAACATCTAAAGAAAAGCGGAAGACTATGTCTGAAATGGAGAATGGTAAGAGGGAAGAACATGTAGGAACATCTAAAACCCAAATGAAAACTATTTCTAGTGACAAGCCATGCCGAAGATCTCCGAGGTTATCTGGAAATGTTGAAAATGGCTGTGCAGAAACTTTGAACATAATGAATAATCATGGTTCAAAATTACGCGTTAAGCTGATAAGAGGAGCTGAGAAGACGGAGAAAATTAGCAGGAAAAATGGTTTTGATGAAGATATGCTGAATTATGAAGATGTTGCCTTTGTTTCTTCTAAGCAAAACGTGACAGTTTCGGATTTGAGTTACACCAAGCTAATTGGAGATGCCGGAACTGTAGGAAATTCTACATTTTCTGAGTTAAATACTGCAGAAACTCGTCTAGCCACCTTCAAGACCGATGAAAATGGATATAAGAAGACATTTTTAAACTGTGATCTCAATTTGCCTGTGGAACAGGAGATGGAGGGGTGTTCACTCCTTGATAAAACACTCGACCACTGTTCTTCTGATAAGGAATTACAAGAGGAGTCGCGTACAAGATTTACTGTGGTTGAACCCTCTAACTGCGACGAGCAGCCAGCCAAGAAGGTCAAGATCTCATCGGAAAACTCCCATGTGAATATTTCTGATGGAGATATTTCGAAACAAGCTGCAAGTGCTGCTACCAATTGCACTGAGGCAAATGGAGACCACATATTTCTGAATTTGAATCAGCCACCAAAGCTAACCCAGGTAAATCCCAAAAAGGCGACATGGGTTGCTGTCCTTGAGCAGGAAGGGAAGCTTGAACATAGTACTTGGTTCTTCATCGGAGAGCCAATACCCTTCGAGGAGGCCCTAGAGAGATGGCGTTGGAGATATGATCTCAAGGTAGGCACCAATACTTTTAGCTTTGATTAGTTTTGTTTAGTCGTATGATACGACTCATATCTAAGCGTTTATGAAGTTACCTGAAGTTAGAGATTGCAAATTCTTAAAGAGTGTGCATACAGAGATTGCAAAACTTGATAGTTTTCTGCATTCTCCACCCTATTAGATGGTATTTGGTTTTCACTATGACAAATGATCTTCTTTGGTTTTCCAAATCCATGAGGTTGAGGTCTTAGGAAACTGAAAGGGACTGTAAGTCACTGTTTCCTGTTTGTTCTCTCATTGTCATATGGTGGATACATAGAGCTTCATATTTAAGATAATAGCCAATTAGAAATGTTTCCACTGGCATCCAATTTTAGTTGTCTGATAAATCCAGTTTATTTCGCCTCAGAAAACCATCTTTTGACTCTTTTGTCATCGTTCTGTTTCAATGCCAATGTTACTTACTGCATACATGATTTCAGTATAAAAATATTTGAATTCACGTTGACTTAGTGGGCCTTCTATTACTTTGTTTCTCCTACATCATCTCTGATTATGAAATATGAGTTTTGTTGAGTTTTTCAGAAAAGCAAATCTAGGAGCAGAGGTCAACAGTTAAAGTGAGTATTAGATAATATATCAATTTTCTTTTTGTTTTATATCGGTTCTTATATCACGTCTCATTATTTTTTACATTCATTTTCTGGAGCTATTCTTTTGAAGTGATGATGATGAAGATGAGATTGTTGCAAGTGTGGAATGCCATTATTCTCAAGCAAATGTCAATGGGAGGACTTTTAGCCTCGGAGACTTTGCATACATAAGGGTAAACACATGTACATAATGAATTTGGAAAGAGCTATTTTTCTTTTCGTTTGACATTATATAACGGTGTATTCTTTTCTTCAGTATCCTTTGACAACTCCTTTTTCGCTTTCTCAGTTGTTGTTAAGCAACTTTAGGCTTTCAGAAGCCTTGGATTTACCTAACATATTTCGTGTGTGTTGTAGAAGATAATAATCTAACGTCCATTTCCAAATCAATGCCTTCCTCATGGAAGCAAATTCACAGGGTGAAGAACAGAAACATGTGGGCAAGATAATAGAATTCTTCAAGACAACAGATGGAGAAGGTTACTTTCGAGTTCAGTGGTTTTACAGAGCAGAGGATACAGTGAGTACATGAGTTTCACTCCTTACTCTGTGTATTTATTTGGCTGCAGTAATAATTGCTTCATTTTTCAAATGTGTTTTAGGTAATGAAACAACAGGCCGCTGCTCATGACGAAAGGCGTCTATTCTATTCCACTGTAATGAATGACAATCCGATAGATTGTATTATTTCAAACGTTAGCATTTCACAAGTTTCACCACGGGTATGCTTATAAAGGTCCTTTTGTTGAAAAAGAAAAGAACTCTTTTCATGAATGTGAAGCATCCTTTTCGCTTCCCCATGTTTGAAAAAATAAATTTGGATTTAATGTCTTATAAATCAAATCTGTGACTTTTAGTTTCATAATTTTTCAGGCAGGACGGAACCCCAGTTCCATACAATCTGACTTCTATTTTGATATGGAGTACTGTGTGGAGTATTCAACATTTCGAACCTTGAGAAACAGTAAGTATTCCTACTGCTTAATCAGCTTAGATACAGTGGCTTATGACGATTAACCAACTATCAAGGTATACTATGTTCTGTGTAGTGTAGTATATAGCTTATGTTCTGTCTAATTTTTCAAGCAAAACTGATGCTACAGTACTGAACCTCTTTATCTTAAGATCCTAGGAATATTGTTGTACTTTGTTGAATGTCAACGTGATATGTGTTACTCATTGACTGATGAGATGACTTGAAGGTAGAAGTACAGGGTGACATATGTTGTCTTTCAGAACAGTGGAGTGAATAGTGGATTTGATTGTGATATCACATGTAGATTTCAGTTCCAAACATTTTGTAAAAGTACAATAACGGTCATTCTGGAAATCTTTGTTTTTTGTTGGTCCCAGATAATTCTTCCGAGAACGATAATATGCTGTTATTGCCTCACATCAAAGCAGCTCCTAAAACATCCACGGATGGTCTTTTGGTAAATGAACATCAAAGCAGAGAGCTTACCCTGCTAGATCTTTACTCTGGATGTGGCGGAATGTCAACTGGGTTATGTCTCGGTGCCAAGATTTCTGGTGTTGGTGTCATCACGGTAATTTCTTTGAAGCTATATTTATTTGTCCCCGTTTGGTTAAACATGCTACAACTTGAGCTGTATTCAGTCAGGTCTACGAAATATCTTAGTTCCTTTCCTTTATTTTTTTTCAGAAATGGGCTGTTGATCTGGAATTGTCTGCCTGCCAAAGTCTGAAGTTGAATCATCCAGAAACACAGGTCAGAATATCTTTCGTGCGAATTATTAAGCCTTTGCCTGCAGAAATATGCAAAAATCTGATCATGCTGTCCGCTTGTTATTTACAGGTTAGAAATGATGCTGCTGGAGACTTCCTCCAACTTCTGAAAGAATGGGATAAGTTATGCAAGCTCTATGCATTCGACAATGAACAGAGAGCTCATAAATCAAGATCTATGGTCTCGGAAGTAGAAACCAGTGAATCTAGTTCTTCTAGTGACTATGATTCAGAATCTGACGAGTTTGAAGTTGAAAAACTGGTTGATATATGCTATGGTGATCCCGGCAAAACCGGAAAAGCTGGTCTAAAATTTAAGGTACTTTAGGAGGCATTGTTATTTCTGGAATTAGCCTTATTGTGCAAACTTGCTGTTGAAGGTTTTATTGCTTTCTTAGCGTGTGAATAATGTCCTTTTTGAACTTCTTGATCTTCCAAAGATGTATGTTCTACGTTTATTGGCTCTTTGTCGGCATTTTGTAGTCTTGTGAAGAGAATTTCTACTCATAGCTATTTCATCAGGTGCACTGGAGAGGATACAGCTGCAGTGAAGATTCTTGGGAGCCAGCTGAGAATTTGAGGTGCGCAACTGACTCTAATTTCAAAGTTGTGTATTGTCGTCTGAATCTAATTCTCTCGTTTGTAATTTTAGCACCTGTCAGGATTCCATTCGGGAGTTTGTAAGGAATGGGCTCAAATCAAAGATCCTGCCACGTCCTGTAAGTTCTCTTTTCTCGTCTCTGATTTAAATGCTCAACCACCTCAAGTTTTATACCTGCACCAGAAACATTATATTGCATAAACCATCAAGACTTCGTGTTAAATTGTAATCCAGGGCGATGTAGATGTGATTTGTGGGGGCCCTCCTTGCCAAGGCATTAGTGGCTACAATCGCTTCAGGAATGTTGATTCTCCATTGAATGATGAAAAGAATCAGCAAATTATAGTTTTTATGGACATAGTGGAGTTCTTGAAACCGAAGTTCGTATTGATGGAAAATGTTGTTGATATTCTGCGGCTTGACAAGGCTTCTCTCGGAAGATATGCTTTGAGCCGTCTTGTGAACACGAGATACCAAGCAAGACTCGGTATCATGGCGGCTGGTTGCTATGGTCTTGCTCAGTTTCGGTTGCGAGTTTTTCTGTGGGGGGCTCATCCAAACGAGGTGAGTGTTATATGTTTTAGCTCCTTGTTGTAGTCCCAGCAAATCCAATATCAGTAGCTCTGTGTTAAAGATTGAAACAGGGAGATCTCTGCTGTATCACCAAGATACAACAATTTGTAATTTTACCATACTAAATGTGACTTGAGTGAATTGCTTTCATTTAATTTGAATGTATATTAATATCCTAGAATTCTTGAAAGATCGAAAGAAAGGGAAAAATCTTGCAACTATTCTATGAATTATGAAGTATTGAACTTCCTTGTGTGCCTATTAGCTATGTCTGTCTGTCTTGATTTTGTCATTTCAGCGTATGCAAAATTTTTTAATTTCATTTCAGATCCTACCCCAATTTCCACTCCCGAGCCATGATGTTATTGTTAGATATTGGTCTCCTCCTGAGTTTGAGGTAATGTTATCCTTTAACTAGAGTTTCCTTGACACCTTCTCTCTTTGACCTCTTAACACATCCTAGCTTCATGTTGCAGCGCAATGTTGTTGCTTATGATGAAGGCCAGCCCAGGGAACTGGAAAAAGCCCTTGTTCTACAAGATGCAATATCTGATCTTCCTCCTGTATGCATAACATATAAGAGATCAATTCGGTAATATGGTAAAATCAATGAACAAATAGCAATATTTTGACTTTGCAACTATTTCAGGTGTCAAACGATGAATCGTGCGAGAAAATTTCCTATGGAAGTCTCCCGGAGACGGATTTCCAGAGATACATTAGATCAACAAAACATGGTAGTAAAGCTACTGTTTAAGATTCAGTGATTTCTGGGTTTTGTTGTACATCACTCTCTGAACAAGATCGCAACATTTGATTGGGTATATAATGGATTGGCAGTTGTGATCTAGTTTAAGAATTAGGAATTCTCTTGTCTAAGCTGCAACCTTCATGATGCTTGATTGAATGATTACACGTGCATATGCAATCACAACTACATGCATATCTATATAATCACTTCTTGGATTTTGCTTTCTCAGAGATGACAGGTTCCGAAGCCGATGGCTGTACAAAAAGGACAATGATGCTGCATGATCACCGGCCGTATAATCTGAATAAAGATGACTGGACTCGAGTTTGTCAGATTCCAAAGAGGAAGGTAATACAACTTTTTTGACAATATAATACAACTTTGATTCTCCAGTCAAAAGATTCTCACGTATAGTGCTTTACAGGGAGCTAACTTCAGGGATCTTCCGGGTATAATCATCAGACAGGATGGCACAGTCCGCCGTGATCCATCGATGATGCCGGTTGTTCTGCCATCAGGAAAACCATTGGTAAGGGATCTTAGTTCCACTTTATGGAGTGAACCATATGGAACATGACAGAAAATGAGAGAAAAACTCTGAATTTCCCTGATCTGCGTATCACAAGCATCGATTTTTTCACCAAAACAAAAATCCGAGCTTTTGTGAAACTATTTATTCAGTATTTTTGTGAAACAAAAATCCCCGCATGTTTTAACAGTTTCAACATTTGTCTCTCCTGTAGATTCCGGACTATGTCTTTACGTTTGAGCAAGGGAAATCTAAACGGTAACCAATCTCATGTCTACTTTGCCTGAAACCGTTGTTAAAATTTGTATATAAGTCGGGTCCAATTGCCATCTTCGCAGGCCATTTGCTCGTCTATGGTGGGACGAGACAGTTCCAACTGTCCTGACATTCCCAAGCTGCCGCAACCAGGTCTCCTTCCGTTACAACCCTTTTATTCTTTCATGATTCCAAAGTTTTCGGAATGGATTTCGAATGAATAATGATACCAGTTCTTGAGTGCAGGCATCATTGCATCCGGAGCAAGATCGGATGTTAACCATACGGGAATATGCGAGGCTTCAAGGTTTCCCTGATTACTACAGGTTCTGCGGGACAACCAAAGAGAGGTAACTCTCTTCAAACCTCATAATTACAGAGAATTTACATAATTCCGGACTTCAGATGTCACTAAGAAGAAACTCAATATGGATCATCTAAAGCTGTAGTTGTGTACATGAAAACTTGCACATTTTCGGGCCATAAACCTCTCAGATTTGGATCCTGTTACCGTCTTTTTTCTTCTTCTCTTTTCTATTATCGCAGATATTGCCAGATCGGGAACGCGGTGGCAGTATCGGTTTCTCGTGCCTTAGGTTACACTCTCGGGATGGCGTTTCGGGGTGTGGTAGGGGACGAGCCTTTGGTGAAACTTCCGCCGAAGTTTTCTCATTCGAGTTACCTCGAGCTGCTAGAAACCACTCCCCATTCTTAAGCACAAAGGGTTTAGAAATCAGTTTCAAATAAAAAAAAGAACCTAAGATTCATTCATAGACCACATTTTTTTCAACCTCCTCTGTTGGTTGGTTCTATTTAGACTGTGCCTTGTTGGCCCCGACATTATAATTTCTTCTGATAAGTTGTATTCTTATAAAATATAAATCATCGGCATTCATGTCTTTTATATGTGAAGGACGTGACAATTCACCTATGATTCTATAGCGTTACTTTACTTCCTCTTTGTAGAAGAATATGTAATAGAATCTTTGTAAAACACCAAAAAAAAATACTTTCAAACTCGAGGGAAAAAATCTATTCAAACCTTAATTATCCATAAATCTCTAATCTTGAAAAATTTATCGAACAACATTGTAAACTAAAAACATCCATATAAAACTTTAACTATCTATGTATCCAATTGAAATATTAGAATTTATGAAATTAACTAATATTTGTTAATTAATCTATTATCAACAGTTTTAAATAGATTTATAATAGTAATTTATTATAATATTTTAAAAATTATGATTGAAACTCTTAGATAATAAATATAATAATTTAATAAAAATTATGGCTTTTAGATGTTTATAATTTTTTTATATTTTATTTGGATTTATGGGTGATTAAAATTTTAAAATGGGTTTTTTTGAAGTTAAAAGTTTTTTAGCTGTTATTTTAATTTAAATTATATTTGGATTTCAGAATTTTTTGAGGTTTTTTCTTCTAAAATCTACTATGCTATAAAAGAAAAAAAATGGAGCCTTTTATTTGATTGACGTGAGAGCGAAATCCGGGTTTTCTCGCTCGGGTCGGGTTCCGTTGCTCGCTCGACGACTCCATATAAGTAAGGACATTTTCGAAACCCCTCGAATTAGGGTTTTGTGGGGTTTAGCACACTGTCAATGGCTGTCCGGTTTCTCATTTCGCGAACTTCGACGGGGGATTTCCCTCGGCGTTCGCTCTCTCCTTGCGTCTCTGGTTTACTCCGGAACTTCATTTTCGGGGAATCGGGTTGCGCCAAGCATTTTCTTCGGAATTCCAGATGCTTTGCGACTGCACCAAGCTCGGGGCTCGATCAGGATGGTCGCGTCCCTGCCACCGTTATCACAGGATTTCTTGGTTCCGGTAAGGTATGATATCGAATTTTTAGTATTTACAGAGCTATTGATTTCGTGGGCATTAGTGTTTGTCCTCGATTTTGTCGGTATGAAATGATTGGACGCCTTAGTTACCTTCACCGATGATTCTTCTTAGTTTCATGAAAGCAAGGATCACACTTAACTGAATAAGTTTGGTCATTTGGGTTTTGGTCAAATTACGATTCGTTGTGATCAAAGAAGATGAATGGATATAAAGCGTACTTTGTCTTGAGGCTCTGTATCCATTTATTTTTGCTGAGATTTCTGACCTTTTTTTGGAAATTTCAGACAACTCTCCTGAACCATATCTTGACATCGAGTCATGGAAAGCGGATAGCAGTCATAGAAAATGAGGTACCCGCGTCATTTTGAATACAGGATATTTTGCTTCAGATAATGATATGCAGATATGTCGATGCTACAGTTTGGCGAGGTTGACATTGACGGATCTCTGGTTGCTAGTCACTCATCTGCTTCTGAGGATATCATCATGGTGAATAATGGTTGCTTATGCTGTACTGTACGCGGAGATTTAGTCAAAATGCTTCTTGAATTGGTTAAGAGGAAAAGAGACAGATTCGATCATATTGTCATAGAAACAACTGGTACCTGATTCTGATAAATCTCATATTCCATGAATTTGTATCTCCTGCCCTGTTGGCTTTGGTTTTGGAATATTCACTTTCTTGGGTGATGTCTGGAATAGTCCAGATTAAATTGCGTTAGTGCAGTGCTTCATTTCGAAAATTAGTATTCTTAATGTGGGAACTAACTATTTCTAGTTGTTGACATTCCTTGTAAAACAGGTTTTTCTTTTCTTTCGACCCTAAAGTCTTCTGAAGGAAAACGTGTGACAGCTTAGTATTCATGTTGTGCGTGCTGTTATTGTCACATGTGCTCAAATGGTTGAAATTTATTTGGGATGAATGGGATTACATTTGACTGAACCCGAAACATCAGAAATTGATAGTGGAAGAGTTACTTGAAGACTATTAAACAGGGTTTTTGCTGATTGTTCTAACAACCATCTGATCTTAGTTGGCTGTCAGTAAAATCGTTTTTCATCTCTGATCTTTTTCAGGTCTCGCGAAACCAGGTCCTGTTATTGAAACATTCTGTAGTGATGAATTGGTTTCAAGACATGTAAAACTGGATGGTGTTGTTACTCTTGTCGACTCCAAACATGCGATGCAGCATCTTAATGAAGTGAAACCAAGATTTGTTGTCAACGAGGCAGTTGAACAAATTGCATATGCAGACCGCATAATTTTGAACAAGGTAAGATTTCTGCATTTGACTTCAAAGATATTATATTTTTGTTAACATATCGATTTGTCTGATGTAGCACGAATTTGATGAACTACCAAATAGACTGCTGTTCTTAAAGGAAAAGCTGCTAATATTTTTATTTTCCAGAACATGTATAATATTCCTGACACCTATAATTGGTTGTGATATTTTCTCATATGCTTTGGCAGATTGATTTGGTAACCGGACCTGAGATGGAGAACTTAATTGCGAGAATTAGGGTATGTGATTTCTTAGCTTGTGAGCTCTCTTTGTTTTATCCTCAGTGAAGATGAATTCCCTGTTTTTACTCTTTTTGATGGTAAAATCCAACAGCATATTAACTGTATGGCACCAATCAAACAAGCCAAATTTGGAGATGTTGATGTGGACTTTGTTTTAGGGGTCGGAGGTTATGATCTTGACAGGTAGCTTCTGCTGTATATGTCCTTTTTATTTGCCTTTCCTATTATGAACCATATGTCTCTCATTTTTAACATATCCGAATTCTATCTGTACGTTAAACTTGTATTCTAATGGTTCAGCGTGTTCTGGCTTCATGGAACACCTTGTATTTCCCAGAATTGAATCAGAAGTCAATTGGGATGGCTCAAGTTGGGAGGAGGATCATGAACATCATCACCACGAATGTGGTCATGGTAAGCATCAGCAGTTTCTCGTCTGCGTATTTCTCTCTTTTTAGTATAAGAAGGTAAAGCACAAAGGAATGACTTGTCTGGTGTGTTAGTTTGGAAGCTAACTGATGCTGGTTTTATTCTTTCTATAAAACAGTTTGGTTATTTTGTTAACTTAGAACTCCTTTCAGAATGACGTTGTTGATTCTCTAAGCATTCTTCCATTTGCGATTTCTCATTAAACTGTGGAGTGATATAACACAGGAAAACACAAAGGACATCAACATGACCATGTTCATGACTCTGCCGTCACGAGTGTTAGCATCGTCTCGGAAGGCACCCTTGATCTTGATGAGGTAAGCTACTTCCCTTGTGTTTACTCATCTTTTTGCATATTCTCCATGCTCTACACTAACCCTAGTTCCTGATTGATATATATAAAGATCTTGTGGCAACAAAATCGATTTATCAAGTTCGTCGTAGAGAACTTATTACAGTGCCTTGATATTTTCCTGTAGGTTGATGATTGGCTCGAAAGACTGATAGAAGAAAAAGGCGATGATTTGTACAGAATGAAAGGCGTGCTCTCCGTTAGTAACTCCGACAACAGATACGTTTTCCAGGTTGATATGCATATATATATATATATATATATATATATGTTCTTTTAGTATGATAAACGAGTAGTCTTATTCTAAACTGCTGAGTTTGGTAATGGCGATTGATGGACATTGCAGGGTGTTCATTCCATATTGGACGGTTGTCCTGCCAAAGAATGGAGCCTCGACGAAAAGAGGATCAACAAACTCGTATTCATAGGTAGGAATTTAGATGAGACATCACTCAGGAAAGGCTTCAGAGGTTGTCTGACCCAGTAACAGAGCTAAACTCGTGTTCTCTGTGTTGTAACTTGTAACCGAAGCAACCTTAACCGGTCGAATTGAAGTAAACCGGGTTCCCTAATTCGGTTTTTGACTTATTGTCTTAACCGGCTAAACGGCCTAACATTATATAACACCAAAGCGGGAATATTTTTCTTCCTAATCGGCTGCTGCGCCACGTGTCCTTCCGCCGGGTGTTTCGCAAATGACGCTTATGCCCACACCGTCGTCGGACCCACCATGTGGCTTTTCGAATATTCTGTTCTCCATGTCCGCCGGAAGAATATTCCACGCTGGCATCTACGTGGTTGTGGCATGCCTCTCAATGTTTGTCCTGCGACTTGGTTTTCTAACCAAATCGCTGCCGTTGGATTTTTATTGGGGTTGACTTTTACGAAATCGAGCGGTTGAGAATAGAGGTGTATGTAACGTTGACGTACGCTTGATTGCTGCTGAAAGATTTCTCTCGGTGTCTGTCGCTTTCATGCAAAGGCCCATCTTCAGATTCGGCGCCGGTCCTTTTAACTAACAACAACGAGTTCATAATAAAACGTTACAAAAATATAACATTTTTTTTTGCCAAAACAAGAAGAGGGATACTTTTTCTTTTATAAAAATTAATATATTTTCACTTCTCCCTCCACATGGAATTTTTCTTTTTTAAGTGCAAGTTTAATTAAATTTATTAAATTAAACTATTAAAAGCTAATAATCAAATGTAAATATATACATGTTATGTATAAAAATAATTCTCTATTTACCAAGATTAATAGCTATTAAAAGAAAACTTTGGTAATAATGGGATAAAGACTGGAATGATGACAGATTGCCGAATTTACCAATGTGAGACAAAATCACATAATTAAATTTAATAACAAAGGGAGAAGGTTCATTATTCAAATTAAATTTAATAATATAAAAATGTTTTTTATTCGGACATGTCAATCCAATGGGTAGGCAAATAAATATCCAAGATGCGGGGTCAGGTTCCTCCACCCTACCCCATGTTACAACCCGCAATATTAATAAAAAAATCAACATATATATATTTATGCGAAATATTTGTAACTTGCTAGTATACAAATACATACAATTAAATAAATATAAGGAGCAGACGGTTCATGTAATAAATTATTTCATTTTGAGTATTATAATAAAAAAAAAAAAAAGTAAGGGGCAATGCATATGAAAAAGAGTGAAGGTCGACGTCAAGTGGAGATTCTGTTTCCATATTGTCGTCAACCATCATTTCACCATCGATGACTTTCTATCGTCTATCTTTCCCTCAATTCGTCTCTCTGGCTTTCCCGGAAAATATCACCGTCTCCGATCTTCACTCTCGGATTCTTCTCGCTCCTCGACCTCGCGAACTCCTTGTATCTGGTCTGATTCGCGTGCCTTAATCTCGATCGCCATTGTTGAACCTCTCCTCCCTCCCCGAGGAAATTTGAATTTTATGCGAGTTGAGAGTCTTCTCCAGTCCCTGTTTCGCAGTTTTGTCGTGATTATGTTTTGAAGTTTGTAATTGGTCTTTGATCGGGTTTCGTTGTTTGTACTGCCATTGTTGAGTATCGATCTCTTCCCTCCCAGAGAAAATTCGGATTTCAGCCAGAGGTTCTTGTCTGCATTCTAACCGCCCTTTTTTAGGGTTTCGTTCCTCCCGAATCGCGTTTCGTAAATTTTTCTGGCATTGCTGGATATCGATCTCCAGCCTCCCGGAGAAATTCAAATTTGAGCCTGAGAGTTTCGCAATTTCACCACCAAGAGATTCAGAGAGAGAGAGAGAGAGAGAGTCCGATCGGAGCAAATGGAGAGGATGAATTTGGGAGGAGGAGGCATAGGGTACGAGAACGGGGGAGTGGTGATGACGAGAGATCCAAAGCCGCGACTGAGATGGACCGCCGATCTCCACGATCGCTTCGTCGATGCCGTAACTAGGCTTGGCGGCGCCGACAGTACGTTCTTCTTCTTTTGTGTTTGATTCTGTGCTATAACGTTAATGGGTTATCATCAGAATATGATCTAATGCAAATTTCGATACAAAGACAGTGAAAAAATTGGTGGAATTAAGAAATATTTGCATCTATTTATGTTTGCAGAAGCCACACCAAAGTCGGTTCTGAAGCTGATGGGCTTGAAGGGCTTAACATTGTACCATCTCAAGAGCCATCTACAGGTGCTCTTATTGCCCACACACGTGTATGTATGCATATGTGCAACCATAATTTACAGAATATCGTCTTTACAATGTGTGATTTTGGTTTTTATGTAGAAGTATAGACTTGGTCAGCAGCAGGCAAAGAAACAAAACCGAGCAGAACATGACACAGAGAAAGGCGGTATGTGAAGAAACTCTCTTTCCAATATTTTCCCGTTTCGTTCGAAACAATTGCCACAAAAACGTATTCGTACATATCTCAGGAAGTTCGTATGTGCAATTCGACCGTCATTCTCAAGGAGCATTCTCCAATTCATCAAGAATCGACGGTCTACAAAGGTATGCCTCTGTATGCTACAATTCTTTTGCTCCTAGCTCGGGTGTCTTGTTAGTCACCAAAGGATCCAACTTTATTTACCACATGATCCTAAACACATTTTTTAATGGTGTGCGTACTAAAGGATGTATCCCATGAATTTATGAAGAATAGTTGCCGTGAATTCTCACGTTATTAACAAAAAAAATAAATCATGATAGTTAGTTGGCAGGGACATAATTTTAGTTACACTAACGAACATCTAACCAAACAGGAACATCCCATTTGGAGAGTCATTGAGACATCAGGTTGAAGTGCGGCAAAGGTTGCAAGAACAGCTCGAGGTAATATTAACAAAGATGAATTGATCGATACATAAATAATATCCTTTTGCGGTTCAACTGCTGAACTACATTATCACATCGTTATAGGTACAGAAGAAATTGCAGAGGAGAATAGAGGCACAAGGAAAATACTTGCTAGCATTACTAGACAAAGCACAGAAGAGCCTTCCAACCTACACGAATATTCCCTCTGATGAGGATGCAACAAAGGGTCAATCACCATACTTCAATCCGAAGCTTTCGGGGCTTGTAGAAGGTAACAATGGAGATGAAAAGAATGGAAAGATGGATTCTATAACTGGTTTCCCGAACAAAAGTGAATCAGAAGATTTTCGAGTAAGTAAACAGAAAGAGAAGAGAGAAACTGGGGATGGTGATGATAAAACAGATCCTGGGTTGGTGAATTTTGACTTGAACTCCAAAACCGGGTGTGATCTCATCACTTCAGGGAACTTTGGAGTGGAGATGAAGATGAAGCCAAGTGTGTTTGCAGATAGAGACATTAGGTAAAGTGACCGTTTTCTTTACTTTTCTTTTTTTCCCCATTTTTCCTGTTACCAACCTCTCTGATCCGATCCTCGACCTGATTGGTCCGACCTGATGATACTGAAATCGCATTTAGTATTGAAGTATATCTGACTCCAAAGTTGGATTCGTAGTAAAATTAGGACGAAAAAGATTCTGAGAGACAGAGAAGAGTTGTTGTAGTTCTGGTTTCTTGTTGATTACTTAAAAAATGATCTATTTATCGTTACGAATACTATGTTATGTTGAATAGCAAACAAGTTCCAATTGGTTTGAACTATATTATACTTTTCCTGCAACTCACCCAGCTTTTGATTACATTTTCACTTAATTTTTGATAAGATTGTTTCCGTTAAAAAATAGAGCAAATGGTAAATACGAGTCGAGTATCTGAGGTCGAGGTTGGAATCGATATCATGGTAATCGGGTACCTAGCTAGATACGTGCGGGCATCGGCCGGTGAAGTGAAGCTAGTCGGCTATAGTTACTTGACGACCGGAATCTGAACTCGAATCTATATTAGTCTTACCGATAAACAAATATCGAACATTTCGGATACGTGACTCACGAACGAATAAAAAAAATACTCACCGTCACCATTCGGGATGCATCGCAATTTCTGATTACGTTTCGTTAAGATAGTTGCCATTGGCTACAATACATCCCACGATTATGGAGCCGATAAAATACTAATCATCAATCGGGTACGCAAAAGCCCATTGGGTCTATACAATGGGCCAATCTCAGCCCAATAATATAACATTCCATTCCCATAATATTAGGATGTGACAAGAAAAATTAATGTGATAAATAATGATAACAACTATTTGCTTTTTCTTTCTTACTCCTATGATGGCCTTTAAAACGATGTATGTGCTGAAACGCAACACAAGTAAAGAAGAAAGCAATGAGAGGAAGAATGAGGGAGTGCGTATTTCATATAGGCAATGCACACCAAATAAGAAGCTCCAATGAGAATAATGTTTAGGGTTCAGGACCTTAGTCTGACTCCAGCTTAGGGACTATGGCCGAGGAGAGCTCTATGTGAGAGACCCTAACCGCACCAATAAGCCGCTCCGGCAATTCCTCTGGTGTATTTGCCTACAAAACTCACAAGAAAAAAGTCGAGCAAATCGCGGATATAACGAACGAACGAAACAAAACATGTATGAGGTCTCTCATATGTTTCATTTTTTGGGGGTGGGGGAGAGGAGGAGATGAGTTTTTACCTGTACAAGGAAAGCCATTTCAACAACTAATGATGTGATTACTCCAATGACGAGTCCCAGGACTCCATTCGCGACGGTCGATGAACCAATATCCACGTCGATCTACATCAAAGATTTCGGTTATTTTTGTTGTTGTTAAGAGCTTCAAGACAATGGGGGGAGGGATGATTACTCACTTCTAAGTAGGTAGGACCGCGGATGTAGTTGCAATCCACTGCTTTCCCCAGAAGACATGGTGTGCTTCCCACGCTTTGCCGTACTATCCATGATCCCTTTGTATTTTATTCGTAAACATGGCAAAAAAAATCAACCGAGGAAGAATACGACGAAAACTGAAAACATCCCGTGTCAGTTGATTAACATAGACCTACCTTAGGAACTAAAGGTATAAGCTTCAGACGACTATTCCGAAATTCATCGTCGCCATCAACAAATCGTTGCAAGAGGGATCCAGGTACGAGATCCTTCGTCACAAAATAAAATACCATACTGTAGTGTGTTGATCCCGGAACCTAGCAAACAACCAGAATAACCATCAGCCAAAAGAAAATTCCGCACATAATGAATGTTCTGAACCCTACTACGTTTTCACAGGGAAAGCTTACTTGAACATTTACCACCAATGAGAATAACCCCTTCTCTGCAGCAACCTGATCAAATTTATCCAAACAAAATAAAGTTTGACAGATCTTTCCAGGTGAAGAAAATAAAACGTCTTGAGAATCGGCAAAGGATAAATTTGTAGAATCGAGTAGAGTAAGAATAGGATAATGAATCATCTTCGGCTCACTAAGGTGATTATAACTCTTACTTGTGCTGCACAGCCCTTGCGTCTGACCACATGATCCATTCTCTTAGTATCTTTGAACCAATCGACAGCGACTAGATCCATTAGATGCTTCCCAGCAGGAACCTTCAGTAAAATTTAAAATTGATTTGAAACAGGACTAAGCTTTAATGTAAAAGAATTGCATCTTAAATTCCACAATGTAATCAGGTGAAAGATTACTTACTTTTCCTTTGTCATTACAGAAACTCTTGCCTCGAACTTTGAAGTTATTACCATCTGAATTTCTCCAGCAGTTACGAGCGTTCTCATGATCATCGCGTCGTAAGTTACCCGAGAAGCAAGATAGATCGATGTCGTGAGCAGATTCTTCTGAGATTTCAAATTGAAAAAGAAATGTGCAGCTATGAGCAATCTTGATGCTTCAATAGGATGCATATCAACAAAACAAGAAAGAAAAGAATATCGATACCATCTGTTACCTGTTCTCTTGACATCGTTCTCAGGCTTATTTGTTTCAGGCTGACATAGTACGAGACAAATAGGATCACATTTCAGGATGCTGCTTTAACATATAAAATTCAAAAGAAGTGTTTTAATGACCCAACCTCTTGTTCTGATTCAGCTATCTGAAATTCATCATCATCGTCAGAGTCTTCATCCATTAGCACAGAGTTTCTGCTGGCAGCATTTGCTTGGTCAGCAGAAAGGGCAGGCAAATGCTGAGGCTTTCCACTTTTGCTCAAACCCAAGGAAGACGATGCCATATTAACCATGACAGGAATTCTGGGAGGAACACCTCTATCATCTGTCTGTGCAAACCACTCACGTAATCCTGTAAAGAATTGACACGATTATTCAAAGATAGACAAGTAAATACAAACTTCATAATGTACCCATGATAACTTACCAGCAACACTATTCAGCATTTGCAGAAGACAATGCTGTTGAAACGCTGGAAGATAACCCACACCCCATCCTTTTAAATCAAGCTGCATTAGATGTTGCACCTGTGTTCTGGGCCGCCCGTTTCGAGGCTTCAGTGGGGCAATATTAAATCCTCCACCTAAAGAATCAAAACATTTTTTAAATTACAATGTTGTACATTATAGAATAAAACATTTTTGTTAAAAACATGGACCTAAACATACTCTCAAGATGTGCCCGGACATATCCAGGTTGTGAACCACAATTCTCATGCTCCCTAGAACGAAACAATACCACTGCACAACAAAAGAAAAATAAATAACGAATAAATGGTAGAAAACCAAGGGTTCAGTTTCAAGCATATGAGTAAAGCGGGAAGCAAGATACCGTAGCTCCCATCATCATTACGACGCCAATAACGAACATAACAGAGATCACGAGGCCACACAGCCCTGGAACCATTTCAACAATCATAAGTATAATACAACAAAGCTTGTGGAATCAATAAAACAACAAAGTTAAATTCTCGATTAAAATGGAAGAATCCCCATTATTGTTTACCCCATTCCCCTACCTTTTCCAGCGACATGGTACTATGGTATGCATAACAAAACCAGAGACACCTCTGCATACCACCTACAGCACTACTTCATTTAGGATGCATCAAGAAGACTGGCTTGGTTTTCAATCAAATTATTGCATTCCATTCTTTACAAGACTGATGAATTGTGATACTATAACTGAATGATATTTTTTTTAGGGTCAACTTACACTGGAAACCAGTCAAGCTGAAGTCTATGGTAGAGTACTGCTGTATGACCATCCACCTCTTCCACTAAGCTCCCATACTGAAAGCTGCAGTCCCACCTGCCTCAAACCAGAAGACATGTGGAAAAGGAGAATAATACTTCAGTTCAGATATAGATGAGAATGCTTGAAAAAGCATTTATGCAAGCAGAACAGATATTGAGACACAGAACGTTTCGAGATAGGGGCATTGTCTTAGGATGATTGTATTGAAAAAATAAACACATAATGCTACAGCAATGTGCATAATAGTATTAAGAAAGATTTAGAAAAATCAGCCAAACCTCTAACTATAATAGAATGAACAAGGACAAGCACCAGTAAAATGATCTCGAGTAAGCAGACGAGGAATGACAGAACTGGAGACAGAGAAACACCTACTCATAACGAGTTCCATCCATGCTCATGACAAGCTCAAATATCTCCTCACATGTGGCCTCCACTACACCGACAGCCTTCATTGCTCTGCTGCAGCTTCTTGGCTGCATCCACAAACTATAAATGATGGTTCTTGTCTAACCAATGATACTATGTAATCAACATCAAATCACTCCACAACGGTAAAGTAAAATATAGAGAACTGTCATACAAGGTAATCAACTTCAAGAAGTTCTTCAAATATCCGAAGCCCTGTCAATGGTATAGATAAAATTAAAACATTAAACCCAAACTCAAGCTCTATTTTTTTAATTTGAGCCCAGATCCTACAGCTGTGAATATTTAGCAGCCAGTAGAAGCACATACTACATGCATTAGGAAAGTGCCAGAGCCTAAAATGTTCAACATAGCAACCAAGATCCCATAATCTTCTGCAGATTGGATGGGTAAAAGAAGCAATACTTTTCAAGTTCCTAGCACAAAAAGCTGCACTCTAGCAGTCCTGCAAATACACTACCATTTTGGCATTGAAGGAGGCGCCAGTGTTTTCTGGAAAATGCTTGGTTATTGGTATTCTGGTTTGAAAACTCTGCTTCAAACTCCTTAGTCCAGTCAAGAATTTGTTCAGGTGGCCCTGCAAGTTTAATTGAGGTGATCAGATTCAACTTATGACGGGAGCCGACCAAGTTCAAGAAGAAACAGAACTGAAAAGAACCATTTCCAATCGTTGTCCTCCTTAATAAATTATTACGAGAATCATCTGCATCCTCCAGCGCACTAAACCTGAAGAAAGATCCAGATATTTTTTTGCATAAATATAGGCATAGAAATCTCAGCGAGAATTAAGATATAGCGTCGAATGTCAACAAAAATGATCTGAGATATTACTGGGCACTCTCCACATGAAGCACTACATAGATAAATGACAGCCATAGATAAACAAGGGAAACAGCACTACACTATAAATGAAACAGAGTATAATTCTATGATAAGTATTTACAATTAAGGCAGAGAATCCCATGCTTAAAAAGCCTAAAAAGACAACAGTTATCGGAAAATAAACATAAGTTGTGGACAGAAATAAAGAAATGACGGCAAATAAGCACTCACTGGCTTTCGTGGTCTGACGATGAAGCAGTTCTTGCGCTACCCATTCCAGATTTATATTCAAAAGAAACATATTGCTGACCATTTGCAAGTGGGGAATCTTGATGCTGCACAAATGCACAATAATCTCATAAGCAACAATCTATAAATTCCAACATTTGCAGCTAATTACCTCAGGCGTCCTTATTTAACCAAATATGTCGGAACCATGAAACAATGACAGCTAAGCTACCAGATAGTCCTAGAAGAGACCCTTCCCAACCCAAATAAACCAAAGCTACATCTAGAAAAGCTTAAAATATTGGGCACCAATTTGGAGGTTCCGATGACAAACCTGATCTATAACGGACTCAATTTTCTCCTTCCACATTAGTGCTTCCTGGATGTTGAATGCTGCCATCTAGCAAGAACATGCTCCGCATGAATTAACCAGCATCATTAAATTGACAAGTATAAAAGAAAGAACACAGATAAACTACACAATGAAAATGCTACCAACAGCAACAGAAGGACTTTGAGTCAAACCGATTATCAGTAAAACTACAAAGCTGTGAACAAAAGAATCCATTAACTAAAGATAATTTCACCCAGTGATGTGACTATCATCAATACTAAAGTAGCGCACCACAATATAGCACTGTATAAGAATATGATTATCGTGACATCAAAATCCAAGTAAGAAGTACAAACATTGCTAGTGATTCTCAGAAAGTAAAGTGAAGTGTAGATACCGTTATTCTATGGTGGTGCTCTTTTTTGTTATAGACGGACAGAACATAAACCATCTGCAAAAGAGAGGAGCCGAGAAGAAATGAAATTTCAAAGCATAAGTGATATAATAATCAAAAGGTTAAATACGACTCACATGTCCATGATGAGTCTTCAAGCCTCGATCCTCTACTCTGCAGTTGCCATCAATGACCATGGTCTTGATAGGAACCTGCGTTATGCATAAAAAAGCATCTCTCAGCAAAACTTCCCAGGCATTCGAGGAGAGAAATGGGTGAAACCCACACGACACAAAAAGAAACAGAGAAAAAGAGATTCCAAAACCCAGAAAAGAAAAAAAAGCTTCATAATCCATCGAGCTGGGAATTTTCCCTTTTGCGTATGGCCCTACTAGATTCAGTTCACTACTTACAGCAACATACTTTCAACTTGGAAAATGTCGAACTCCAAAACACCAGTTCAAGTCTCCAGTGACATATTTTAGCGAATTAGCATAACTTATGACTAATCTGACCCAAGAAACGGAAAGACCTTCAAAATCAACCCAAAACAAAATTCAAACGTAAAACAGCTAAGATCAAACAGAGAAGGGGAGAAAAAAGGAGAAAGACTTGGAGGAATTAGTTCATTCATGGGATCCACCTGATTATCCTGCGGTTTCTTCTTGTAATAAGCCAAAAGCCGAGGTTCCAACACGAAATACCTCATATGGATGTAGGATCGTCCGATCTTCCTCCTCCCGTACCTTACCATCCATCCCTCGTAGACAACCTTAGACATTGTCCCTTCTCACACCCCGATCGGAAACAATTCCCACGAGGAAATCAGAATCTTAGATCGAAATCAAGTCTGTATTTTTTTTTTCCGGGGGAGATCGGCGCAACAACCTAAACGACGTGATTAGCCATGGCCGCTCCAGCGCCGGAGTTGGAGGGCCACCGGAATCTGAGTTGGATCCTCAGACACCTCTGCCGGCGTCGCCGGAGACTTATGAACCCACAGATTTGAAAATCCACCAACCAAAAATAAAGCGAAATTCTAACTTTTGACAGAACAGTAAAATCGAAAAGCGAGAGGGAGATAGAGCATTTATATGCAACAGACAGAGATTATCGCATAACTAAACATTAATATATAAAAAAGGAATCATTCCAAATAAGCAAGTTAAATCGTAATAAGTACGTCATTAGCATTAAAATTACTCATTTATTTAAATTAATGAGTTAGGTAACATAGAGAGGAGGAATAATACATTATACAATCGGTTTAATACAGCACTAAACCTCCTTTATTTTTGTTATGCGGTTTTATCACCCAAACTCAATTTGATTGTATTCAAATTAGTGGCAACACTTTCATTTATATATTCACATACTTAATATGACTTTTCTCCTATATAATTAACCCGCATGATTACATAATTAAAATTAAAAGTCCATTGCATTTAGAGCATAATAAGAAAAATAATCGAATAAGAAGTCCACCAAAATAAAATTTATTGAAAGTGGAAGGTGGAGGCGATGGATTATGCTGCGGGAGTGGAGCAGAGGGTCAAAGGGGGTCGGATGCACTCCTCGTTACCATTTTGGACGGAATCTTCCACACTTGTTGTGAAAGCACCGTTATGGATATCGACCTTTTTTGTATCATTTAATTTACAACAAAATAAAATGCAATAAATTGAAATAATTTTATAGGTGATAATGAAGTTGCATAATCCACCCACATACCTGTATACAGAGAAAGTTGGCACACATAACAATATCAAAGTGATTTTGATATGTGAAAAATGCAATTCATAGTCAATTGGATCTGAAAATGCTACATTTTACAACAGAAGAAACAATTTTTTTTATAAATAAATAAATAAAAAAACAGGATCTTACAGAGGATTTATTTGCCAACACAGATTATTTTTTTCTTTTTGACATCAAACTTTCTTAATTACCAATTTGGAAAATGTTATCAAGGGGTGAGTTTAAAGCTTGGAGAGATGCAGGAACAAAGCAGAAGATAACTTGATCAGTAAGGAACGATGATGGATTCTAAGAGCTCTTGCAGAGGTGCCAGTTCTTTCTTGTCTATTAGACCAAACTCCTGCAAAAGCCACGACCAAATTCATCAGCGCCCATCAATTATTTAACACCAAAGAATCTTTTAATCTTGAAACAAAGACAACCATGTGCATAAAGGCTAAAGCTTTCACATCTTCCCGAAACAAAGTATATAATCATCGATTTGTATCCAAAGTGGATGGTAACTTTAATGCAATAAACAATTGATTCGCAATCAAAAGATGAAGAGGAAAATGAGAGCATTAGAGAAGTGAATTTTTACGTGAGTGAAGAGGATGAAGTGCTTGAAGCATGTGTTGAGATGGGCTTCCTCTTTGAGGCTCACAATCTTCTGGAAATGAGAGTGGTAAATGTGCGCATACACACGGAACAATCGCTTAAATATTGTCTTCACCACGTCCTTGAAGTTTGGAGGGAAAGGTGCACCTGGAAATTTCAGGAAAGGTTGATCAATTAGGAGACTTTTCATGTTGTTATAAATGAACCATTCCATCTTAGGTTCTGTTTCATATCTGTCGATATCAGCTAATATATCATGATCAATCTTAACTCATGTTTGTTCAGACATTACCGATCCTTTGAGGAAATATGGATTCATCGTCAAGCTGAGTTTCAATCCAATCCATTAAGTACTCCACGTATTTTGGGGCAGACACCTCAATGGGCTTCTTGATTTGTACGCCATCTGCCCATCTGTACTCATACCTGAAAGTATTGCCTGTGTTAGTTAGCACAATTTTTGTTACGGAGAGCAAACACACCAACTGTGCATTTGAAGAATAAAAACTGCCCAGTTAATGGGAATGACAACCATATATCATATTCATAACTTAGAAGGAAGAACTAAGAGGTAAAGAATCACATTCATCACTCAACAAAGTAACCATTGCCAGAATTGAAGCCAGACGGCCGATAGATGTGTTGGACAGAAATGCAATCTTAACAATTCTAAAAAAGAACATCATCAAAAGGAACATCAGATCACAAAAGCAACTCTACAAATTTCCAGACAAAATTAAGTATTTCAGTTGTAGGCATGAAGTGTATTTCATCCACAAAGTCTAAGGCATCCATCAGTATGATAAGAAAATAAAGCCGCTGTTCCTCTAATCCTTACAGTTTTTGAAATTCGAAGAGGGCTAAAATGATTAAACAAGGAAGCATCTATTAGAGCTGTTTACTGTTTCTTCTTAGAAATTAGGAAGGTCTAGAAGCATGATGGTTCCAACTATTAGTGGGAACAAGTCAAGGAAGGAAGAAAAGAAAAGGCTATACTTGGGGCCAGCAGTCATTGTAGGACAGTTCTCTGGAGTGCAGAACTCTGTAAGTGTTCCATACAGCAAATTCACCTGGTTAAAGAAATCCACAGCTGAAAAGCAAAAAACTTTATTTCAGATACAGAATGGATGTTCTAAATAGATATAAACATAATCCTGATAAGGCAAAATCCGCGACATTACGAGAAAAACATATGCAATGAGCATCAGCACATCTCATACCAAGAGTAAGCATATACCAATGTACCCTACAAAGGAAAATCTAAATGCATCCCTATATTAGTATGCCTTGAAAGTGGAAGCAGAGTGGTTCTTACTGTTGACAGCAAGCCATTCGTTTAAATCCTCGCCTGGAGGAAGTCTTACGGCTTCCCTCAGATTCCCGCTACCAAGGGTGGCATCGATATGCTTTCGAAGCTGTGCACCCTGTATCACAGCAAGAAGCAAACACCAGATTTCTTATCAAGTAATTACGGCCAAAAGATCTCGTAGCACAGAATTCATATAGATCACAAACCTTGCTTCCAGAAGGAGCACTCTTTTTTGGACGGAAAGTCTTCTGATTTCTATTAAGAAATAAAGAGAGTAAGAAAATTAGAGGTGTTATCAAATCAATCCATCAATGTTAGTGGAAAGGCAAAAGAATCGTTACATCAATTGAACAAATCAAGATGAAAATGCACAATATTTATAGCTGCAACCTGAAAATCCAGTTTATCCAGCAAAATTTCACGTACATTGAACAAAATCTTGACAAGAATGGCGGTGGATCATGGACTATCCATGTTATTTGTTGCCCACTTTTAAGTTTTGAAGCCAAGACTATGGACCATGAGATCCGACAACCAGTAAAAGGAGTTTATTGCCTAGTGACAGATTTTCCAGATGCGGTAGAGATAAACATGGATTAACAACTTCCACTCGCTCCATCTAAGTTTTCAAGCCACAGCTCTCAATCCTGAAGACGAATCCGGCACCGAGCCAACACACACAATTCGATCACAAACCTCTTCAAAAACCATACATAATCACCCATAAATTTTTTATAGCTACAAGCTTCGAAATCAAGTTCACCACTTCACGGACTCCAGAATCACAGAAATGGGATAAATTAACAGAGACACACGAATTACGTGATCCTGCAGAAAACCTACGGATCCGAGACGAAGAAGACGCAAATATGTCTTTGGTAACAGATCGGATCCCAAAGGAAGTTAGATCATGAGTGATTTCACATATCTGAGACGGCGAATCTCCTGGAAACATCCGAATTAAAAGAGAATCGAATGGAGAAACTAGAATTTTACCTCCCAAGCCCGAAGAGACTCATGGCTTCGAGAGAGAGTCGTCGAATCGCCTTTCCTCAGGTGGAAAAAGAGGGTCTCAATAAAATGATTAAAATGTCAACTCCCACAATTTCCGGTCATATTTATATAATTATCATAAATACATAGTCATGAGGTTAACGTAGTTTTTAAATTTTAAATTTTTTTTAGGGGTTTTTAATCGTAACTTTTGACACGATTTTATTGGTAACATGTCGAGATATATTCCTAATCGAGCGATTAAATTTATTATCTTAATTATATACAAAAACCAAATACATGGAAAACAAAGAAAACATTTCCCCATACAATTTATCGGGAATTATTTTTTGATCAAATGCAAATTCTATTAAAAAAAATTTATGTAAATTAAAAAAAAAACAGAAGAGGAAATTTACAGAGCTTCATGGACAAGGTCGAACCGTTTTTCTTCTTCTGCAAGAAAAGTGAAACATAACAAGAGATCTCTGGACAAAACCTGAATCGCCATTGATAAGGGAGTCGAGTGTCTTCAAGGAGGAGGTGTTACACTCAGACTTTCTTCTGTATCTTTCAAATTCGGACATTTGTCCACTCTGCATACTCGCAGTCGCTGACCAGGAGGCAGTCTTGCCCCGACCGCCAACAGCTCTTGCAAACAGAAGAGAATCAGCGTATGTAAGCTCTGCAATTCACAATCTTCTTCGAACACCCTCTTCAATTTATCGCAGAACTTGATCTGCAGAATCTCCAGGTATTTGGGGGTCTGGGAAGCTTGGAAAACGCACGTTTCGATCTTGGGACAGCATTCGAGGCTTAACTTCTTCAGATTCTGAAACATACCTGTTTTTCCACAGATTTTTGTCAGATTGGTAAGATTTGAGATCTGGAGAGCTTCCAGTTGTTGGATCTGAGGCTCGGTTTCTTCATCACCAAAAAGATCTTCCATCTTGACGCATCTTTGCACCAGACAACCCTTGAGAGCTTTTGCTTTGGATGGAGACAAGATAGATGAACAGCTCGTGGAGAGGTTATCGATGAACGAAACGTATTCAGCTTTGGAGATCCATGTTTTGATGAGATTGGGAAAATTTCCCGACCCGTCACCTCCATGGATCTCTAGACACGGTTCATGTTGATTTCCACGAGCGAAACCCAGGATGTTGATGAATATTTCTTCGTAGCCATACAATTCTCTTGGACAGGACATGGAATGGTTGCTGCATTGCTCCTTAAGACAGACAGAAACGTTGAGTTCTTTACAACATATGTTCTGCCGATCATCGGTCTTCGTTTCCACCAGTTGAACCACATGTAAAGAAGGCTTTTTATTCGCGAGGACAGTTGCAAGATGAACAGAAAATCCATGATCTTCCCAGCTTATCTCTTTCACAGAGCCTCGGATCGCGAATTTGACCCAATTAAGCTCTTTCAAAATGCTCACATTCGATAGTACGATTCTTTTCGCGCAGAGAGAATCACAGTTTTTGTTGAGAAACTCTGCTGTTACCGATGTTCCCGAGAGGCGAAGCACCTCTAGATGGTTTGAGTGCTTCAATGGTGAGAATAACTCGGTATCTGCAGTTTCTTGATCTATTATCAGAGAGAGATTCCTTAGGTTGTTGAGTTTGGAGATTGACGAGAATTCCGAGAGATTCACTCCTGAAAGGTCGAGACTTTCGAGTTCTGTTAAATGCTCCAAGAACTCGGCTTTCCCGTCGTTCAGACATCTGATGCCGCCAAGATTGAGTTCTTGCAGTCTACGGAGATGTTCCAAACCGACAACGTCTTCTAGGACAGTGCAGTTCTTGAGTAAAAGACGAGATATGTCTCGGCATTTCCGGGGTAAGTCTGATACTTTCTTGATATTCGTACCAGATAGGTCGAGTTTCTCAAGATTAGGCATTGAACTAAAGGACTCGGCATTGATGTCCAAAGCAATGCAGCCCGAACAATCGATGATCTTGAGTTTTTTGCAGCGTGTTAACTCTGGAAGATTCTTTAATTCATGGCAACCTGAGATGTTCAAGACCTCGAGATTCCGAAGCTCTGAATGGTCTTTCGATGTCGATAAGCTTGTCAAAGAAGAGCAACCCTTCAGGAGGAGTTTGCGGAGACTTCCAGACTTGGGAAAAGCCGGTAAGCTCGTGACTTTGGTGCCAGACAGAGAAAGATTTTCGAGACGAGGCATGAACTCGAAAGTTCCATCGATTTTGGTTAGGGTTCTACAGTTAGAAACGTCGATCACTTCGAGGCTGGTAAGATCATCCATTCTGGGAAGAGATGTCAGAGAAAGACAGTCCCTTAGAATCAACTCGCGGAGACTATAGAGTTTCTCGGAAGAAGAAGGTAAGGCACTGATGGAAGTTCCGGATAGATCGAGGACTCTGAGTTTCTTCTTTTCTTCAAAGTACGCGTTCCTTATTTCATGGACACCAACGCAACCAGAAAGATCGAGAACTTCTAGACCAGACAAAGGTTTAAGGCTCGGTAGTCTAGTGAGTTTGATGCAGTCTCTCAATATCAGATGTGTCAAGGCTTCTCGGTATCCACTCCATCTCAATCCCGTGTTTTGGAAAAGAGGGATCCGGATGAGTTTGCTGCGAGAGAAATCGAGACGCTGAAGACGTTTCAGCCGGAAAAAGTTTGTGTTATGGTTTTCTTCGTCGGAGACAGACAGAGAAGTCGAACCATAAGTATCGATAACCTCGAGGTTTTCCATGAATTGAAGGTTGGGCAAGTGTTTCAGTTTAGGACAGTGTCTGAGGATAAGGTAACTGAGTTCCTTGAGTAAAGAAACGGAAGAGGGAAGATACTGAAAAGGGTTTCTGGATAGGTTAAGGCTTTGAAGGTGAGCCATTTTCCTGAAGAAAGAATCTCTGAGATTTCCCTTCAAGGCACCAGCTCCAGAGATCTCGAGAGCAGTAAGCGACTCGAGATCAGCAATGGCGTCAATGTCATCCAAGACATTGCAGTCCCTTATCACAAGAACACTGAGTTTCTTCAGTTTCCATAACGACGGAACGAGCGAATCAAAAGCCGGGCTGAAGAGGGCAACGGCTTTAAGATCCGGCATCTTCTCGAAGAAATCCTTGGGAATTTCCTTGCGCAGACGGTTTCCACTCACCATAACCATGGACACATTCTTGGCGGTGACTTTCTTGATAATATCGTCGATCAGGACAGTTGTCCCGAGACATATCTGATCGTTGTCGTGAGTTACATCAGTCAATCTCAAGCTTGAGTTCCCACCATGCGTCTGAAGAAGATCAAACACGCTTCTCATTCTCTCTTCTGGAATCACCATGCTATCTTCCTGAATCTTGAGCATTCCTCGCTCTAATAGTTCCGTCTGGACATTGAATGCATCCTGATAACTTGTCTTCATGCTCTCGACCGGATCAAAGTACCCTTCAAGAATCCAGTGATTGACCAGATCCCTGTAATAAACCCCGCCATGCTTCTCGAAATATCTCAAGCTTTGTCTCAAGCAGTTGACAGTGGCATCACTCGTTAACGTCTGGTAACTGAGCAACAGTAGAAGATCACAGCCTGTAATGGCCGCGGCCTCTACATAAACTTCTTCTTCCTCCTCTCTCTTGCCGACCAACATACCGTTTCTCCTGAAAACCTTTGTCAGTGTCGGAGAGAGAGACATGGAACCGTGTCGTGCCATATAACTCAGGGATTTCGCCAGCACTGTGATTCCTGCGGGCACACCATCGCTCTTTTTTGCGACGGAAGAAACGTCGAGCCCTAGCTCTGAGGAGACTTTCTCAGCAAGAAAGCTCTGGAATAACCGGCAAGAAGCCTCCAGATTCAGGCCAACCAACTCAACCGTCTCTGTACCAGAAACAGAGCTCTCGTCCTTTGTTGTTCTCGTGGTCAGAACCTTCCATGGAACTTTGAGATTTGTAAGAAAATCTTTGAGGCCAAATTCTGTCATCACTTGCTCCTCACTCGTCTTCTTCCCAGCATCATCCATAATCACCAGAAGGAACATCTCTTCTGCAGATTCCTTCTTTCTCTTGATCTCCCGAGCAATCTTTTCCATCAGGTTCTCGATCGTCTCTTTCTCCTTCTCCTTCTCCTCAGACCCGTCTTCCTCGTCGAGCTCCTCGTAGTTCAGAAGTACGGACAAGTGATGAGCCATTGTCTCGTAGACAGAGCTCTGGCCGTGTCTCCGGTTCAGAGATAACCAGATCGTCTCGAAACATAAACGATTCTCGATCGCTTGATCGGCGATTTCTCTGGCGAGAAATGTTTTCCCCATCCCGGATTGGCCGGAGACCACGATTCTTGACACAGCTGGATCCTCCAGATATTGAAGAATCTTATCCCGCTGCTCCACTCTCGCTGTAACCATGGTTGATCACTGGAACAAGAAAAAAAAACATAAGAATATAAGCATTAAAAAAACACATCAAAGCAAGATGGTATGGTCGCTTCAGCCTTCAGACATGCATTTTATTCTATTAAACAATTAATTTTGTTCCTATCATTATCCATAAATTATTTATTTAACCCTTGTACCGGACAAAATTTTGAAATTGTCAAAGATATTTATATACCGAAAAAGGTAAATTCACCCTTGAATATTTAAGTATTGGGCAACTCTATCCATGAACTTGTTGATGTATTACACATAAATCCCCACAAATTTTTTTTTTAAAAAAAACAACCAAAAACCTTTTAAATTTATGTAAAAACGTCTATTTAAAACTTTAATTATGTAGAAATCCTAATAAATTCCAATCTCTAGATTTTATCCAAAATTTTGCATATATATTTATTAATTGATCCATTTCGATCTTAATTAAAAAAATAGTCTTACCTCCCCAATAAAAAGTTTGTCACCATTCACGATACGTGCCGCGTTATTATATAGTTTCATAAACATATTGAAAATATGGACTTACCTTTGTATTATTTGGTTTGAAGACCGTAAGTTCCCTCTCCCTTGCTATTTGTTTTTGTCTCCAACCTTTTTCTTATTTAAATAAAATGCAAATGTATATTATTGCTTGCAAGTTATGAAGCAAGAGAGCATCATTGCATTCTTTTTTATATAGCCGTTGCTTAACTTTTTTGGATGCCGGGGTCCACGTATACATGGTAATTTCTGAATAAAAGATTTTCCACGTTATTTAATGCCATAGAAACTGAAGTTTTATAACCAATTTTTTTTTATAGACATATGTTTTTCAAAAGTATTTGAAAAAATAATTTGAGACCATGATTTTTTTTTTTTAAGATTAATAAAAAAAATGAAACCATTGAGTCATTTCGTCTTGTTTTGAAATAATATCTTTTTCATAATAAAACAATGCTTTATATCTATATTTTTCTAACTAAACTTGATTCTATCAAATTATTTTCATGTTGCATGAAATCATTCAACCAGTTAATGGTCGTTATATTTACAATTTCATGTTTCCAATTTTGTCAATAAATCATAATACAGCTGAAAAAAAAATTCAAACAGAAGAAATAAGCATACAACAAAAGTTATGTGCTAATAAAAGAAAATTACCAATTGTTCTAAATTCCAAAAAAAAAAAACTTAATTCAGGAGAGCATCAATTTGGCCCCTCCTTTTAATGAAGCGTGCGGAGAGATTGAATTGAATTAGGAATCGTGTTCGAAATATCAAGACGCAAGCAATAAAATAAAATAAAATAAAAAAACTTAAACAAAAACAAGTGCATTTTCTTCTTTTTTTTTTTTTCTATTGTTAAGTAATTGGAGAAATATGAAGGCTTTTGGATAATATTAAATTTGTTTTTATAAATTTTTTAATTTTGTTATGGAAAATTTTATCATCATTTTGGATTAAACAAATTTTCACGAAAAAATGGTTATCCTATTATGTATAACGAATTATTATGCCTTCATGCGCTACACTAAGTTTTTTGCTTTAATTGCTTTTTCGTTGTCTTTTTCATTTTTTTTTTGTTAATGCGGAAGTTCACCGAACCTCTAACCCGATTATATCTCCCAAAAGACCGGAAAAACCTATGTGAATGTCTCTCACCACTAAGCCACCCAAGTTTGGGTTCATTTTATTCCGTAAGATTTTTTTTTTCCAATTATTTTTAAGGTTTAAGAACATGACAATGGAAAAATAAAAAGAAACCGTGTAAATACACCTTAATTTTTTTTTAAATTACATTGCAAATTAATTTCCAAATTCTAAAAAAAGTAAACGAAAATTTTCCATGAAGCAAAGAATTTGTGTTACACGTTAAGTTTAACTACTACATTTCATTTGTCCACGCACGATCCAATTAAGACAAAACTAAGATGTTGAATGGGAAGAGTTTTCAGATATTTTAAATTTTAAAAAATGAAAAAAACGACAATCAAGTTTATCTTAATTTGGTTTTTCTAAAAATCCAAAAATCTATTTTATGAAAAAAAATTAATTAGAAATCTGTAATACCCTAATTTTTTCAATTAATTAAAGCTTAAAATATATTAATATAATAAATAATA